AGCACACATAAGGTTTGCAAAATATACTGTGCAAACTCACTTTGTATGTCAAAAAGGCAGAAAAAACGCTTATTACCACTACATCTGGTACAAGCTAGCGGAAAAATGATCCCACGCTAAGGTTCAAACTATACCTTTTGAAACACCCTGGGGTGTCTACTTTAAGAAATGGTAGGCCTTTGTGGGGTAGTTTGAATTTAAAACCTGCGAAGATGCTTGGAAATTGCACATAGGCCCAGCGTCAAAATTCAAAGTTTGGTAAAAACGGATATGGCTTGGTCTGCTATATGGCACTGTAGCTTCACGAAATAGTGCCAAAGACATTCATATGGGGTGTCATTTTACTCAGAAGACTTAGCTGAGCATAATTTGGGGGTTTGAACTTAGTGGCACATATGAAATATACAAAACGCCCAGCAAAATGCAATCCGTATGTAAAAAATGCACAAAATTATTTTTTACCACATACTTTGGCATATATTGGTGAAAAAATGGGGGCATGTTAAGGCACAATATGCACCTTATAAGATACCCTGGAGTGTCTACTTTTACAAATGGTAGGCCTTTGTGGGGTTTTTCTGAACAGTCAAACTGTTATAATACCCCAAATGGAAGCTAAGGCTCATTAAATCCATCTCTCAAAATTCTACTGTGAATACTGTAAAGGACAGGTCTCCTATATGGCACTGTAGCTTCACGAAATAGTGCCAAAGACATTCATATGGGGTGTCATTTTACTCAGAAGACTTAGCTGAGCATAATTTGGGGGTTTGAACTTAGTGGAACATATGAAATATACAAAATGCCCAGCAAAAATGCAATCCGTATGTAAAAAATGCACAAAATTATTTTTTACCACATACTTTGGCATATATTGGTGAAAAAATGGGGGCATGTTAAGGCACAATATGCACCTTATGAGATACCCTGGAGTGTCTACTTTTACAAATGGTAGGCCTTTGTGGGGGTTTTTTGAACAGTCAAACTGTTATAATACCCCAAATGGAAGCTAAGGCTCATTAAATCCATCTCTCAAAATTCTACTGTGAATACTGTAAAGGACAGGTCTCCTATATGGCACTGTAGCTTCACGAAATAGTGCCAAAGACATTCATATGGGGTGTCATTTTACTCAGAAGACTTAGCTGAGCATAATTTGGGGGTTTGAACTTAGTGGCACATATGAAATATACAAAACGCCCAGCAAAAATGCAATCCATATGTAAAAAATGCACAAAATTATTTTTTTACCACATACTTTGGCATATATTGGTGAAAAAATGGGGGCATGTTAAGGCACAATATGCACCTTATAAGATACCCTGGAGTGTCTACTTTTACAAATGGTAGGCCTTTGTGGGGGTTTTTTGAACAGTCAAACTGTTATAATACCCCAAAATGGAAGCTAAGGCTCATTAAATCCATCTCAAAATTCTACTGTGAATACTGAAAAGGACAGGTATCCTGTATGGCACTGTAACTTCACGAAATAGTGCAAAAGACATACAATGGGGGTGTCATTTTACTCAGCAGATGTAACTGAACACAAAATAAAACTTTGTACAGGAATAGCACACACCAACTTTACAAAATATACACGAGAATTTCTCTGTTATAAGTTTGTGTGCCAAAAACCAAAAAGAACACAATTTTACTCCAATATTTAGCAGAGGTTGGCGGTGAAATGGCTACGTAGAAAGTGTCAAAACAACCTTAGGTAAATAGCCCGTGATGTCTACTTTATATAAATATATACTTTTGTGTGGCAATTTTGTTTTCTTTTATGGCTATTAAGCTTACAAGACAAACATACCAAATTCTAAAATCGCTCCACATTAAAATTTTATTTTACTCCTTGTGCTTTGTGACCTGTAACTACCAAAAAAAACTTAAAATCCCAGACACATTATATATTCTGTAAATCAGAACAAATAAATAAATTTATTTTTAATTACTTTCCTTAACCTGCACTAATTATGCACACATTATTATTGCAAAAACTGTAAAAAAAAACAATATTTTTCATTTTTTTTGCATTTTTCTGTATTTTTTTTATAATAAGTAAGCATTTATATATCTATATGTTATATCAAATTAAAGCCCTTTCTGTCCTTTAAAAAACAGTATATAATGTGTGTCGGTGCAATAAATGAGAGAGATGCAAATTGCAGTTGAACGCAAACAGCAAGAAAATGCAAAAATTGCTTGTGTCATTAAGCGTAAGTCAAGCTTCTGAAGCTGTGTCCTTAAGGGGTTAGGTTGGAACTTAACATGTATAGCTTGGAGGAAAGACAAGACAGGGGGGATATGATAGAAACATTTAAATACATAAAGGGAATCAACACAGTAAAGGAGGAGACTATATTTAAAAGAAGAAAAACTACCACAAGAAGACATAGTCTTAAATTAAAGGTTTAAAATAATATCAGGAAGTATTACTTTACTGAGAGGGTAGTGGATGCGTGGAATAGCCTTCCAGCTGAAGTGGTAGAGGTTAACATAGTAAAGGAGTTTAAGCATGCGTGGGATGGGCATAAGGCTATCCTAACTATAAGATAAGGCCAGGGACTAGTGAAAGTATTTAGAAAATTGGGCAGACTAGATGGGCCGAATGGTTCTTATCAGCCGTCACATTCTATGTTTCTATATTTCTATGTTCTATGTTTCTAAATACTCTTCCCTTATATTGCCAGCTTTTTTGGCATTATCTTTTCTCTCAGTTTTTTCCCTTTATATAGCATTAAAATTGGTGTTTAGCTTTATCTTACTTTATCTGAGGAGCCTCTGTGGCAAAGGAACTTAAAGGACCACTATAGTGACAGGAAAACATACTCGTTTTCCTGGCATTATAGTGCCCTGAGGGTGCCCCCACCCTCAGGGTCCCCCTCCCGCCCGGCTCTGGAAAGGGGAAAGGGGTTAAAACTTACCTTTTTCCAGCGCTGGGCGGAGAGCTCTCCTCCTCCGATCCTGCTCTCTCCCCCCGGCTGTGCGCACGCGCGGCAAGAGCTGCGCGCGATTCAGCCGGTCACATAGGAAAGCATTATAATGCTTTCCTATGGACGCGCTGCTCTCACTGTGAAAATCACAGTGAGAAGCACGCAAGCGCCTCTAGTGGCTGTCAATGAGACAGCCACTAGAGGAATTAGGGGGAAGGCTTAACCCATTCATAAACATAGCAGTTTCTCTGAAACTGCTATGTTTATTAAAAAATGGGTTAACCCTAGAAGGACCTGGCACCCAGACCACTTCATTAAGCTGAAGTGGTCTGGGTGCCTAGAGTGGTCCTTTAATGGACCACCATAGTGCCAAGAAAACAAACTCATTTTCCTGGCACTATAGTGTTAATAGGTCCCCCCACCCTCATGGTCCCCCTACCGACAGGCTCTAGGGGGAGGAAGCGGTTAAACACTTATCTTTCTCCAGCGCTGGGGTCTTCTCACTGTGAAAATCACTGTAAGAAGCGTGGAAGCGCCTCTAGCGGCTGTCAATGAGACAGCCACAAGAGGCTGGATTAACCCTAAAGTAAACATAGCAGTTTCTGTGAAACTGCTATGTTTACAGCAGGCAGGGTTAATCCTAGATGGACCTGGCACCCAGACCACTTCGTTGAGCTGAAGGGGTCTGGGTGCCTATATTGGTCCTTTAAAGTGTGTCTTTGAAGTATTGTTGGAGTATAGTTGATTTTTTTCCCAGAGGACCAGCTTAATAAGCCCAGACATCCAGGCATTCCTTGTGTGTCTCAACAGTTAGTATAAGCAGCGTGGTCTCAGCTGGCCACGTGGATGATAGCGTGGCTGATAGCTCTCAACACCGTTACAGTGCTTGCCGCAGTTAGGATTAATGAGGGCAGTTGAAGAAATGGTCCATTTGGACCCAGCTCGTGCTGATCTCTCAGACCCCCAGAGTAAGCCTCTGTATACCACACAGCTCCGCAGCTAAGATAAAGCAAGTCTGCATCAGGGGATTCTGCACGCATCCTTTCTTCCTCATGGACTCATGCCCCGCCCAAACATCCGCACGCTCTACGTCATGATCCACCTTTGCGGATAGAGAATGTATTTCAATTTATGGAAGGTGTTTTTTGGAATGTTTTTATTTTATTTTTATGGCATGTTAACTGCTTCTAATACTTAATGGAAATCTTAAAACCTGATGTAGCAGTTATGATAGTAGGAATACCCTGGCACAGTTCCCTGGTAATGGGGTGAACTGTTTTCAAATCTTTGCCCTCTTTCCTAGTCATGCCAGGCACCTGGTTCCTTTTCAAGCAGGGTTTACAGCATCCAGTTTCTGTATTTCTGCAGAAACTGAATGTTGGTCCTGCCACTCATTCCTTGGCTTAGAGTGCCAATGAGTAACTCTTTAACAAATTAAAATTTAGACAAAAATATTAATTCAGTTATCCATATTCAAGCAGCGATTTCAAAATCATAATCAAATATCAATAAATTAATACACAAGCTTGACTTTACAATGTACAAATCAGAACCTGACATGTCACTCAGAATATAAGACTGCTCTAAAAATCCTGACACCGAAGAGAGTCCCTGTGAATTATGGTATGTTTACTAACACGGTGGTACTGTAGCACCAAACAGGGCAGTAGTGTAGCACAAAACAGTTCATTTGCTGTAGTTTTGTCATCCTCTCCCAGAACCCTATCCTTTGTACCAGGTTAGATTTGTATACCTTTCTGTAACAACAGTTTGATGCACTATACATTTGCCATTGGTGGTTTTTAAACATACTCCTCACAATGTTTTACAGTGCATTGACTGCGTCTTTCCACTAATTTTTATCGCTTATTTTTATCGCTTATTAAATGTATGAATGAAAATGAATGACAATGATAATGTTGGAACTGTCGGGCACTAGTGATGTCCCGAACGGTTCGCCGAACGGTTGCCACGGATGGCGAACATATGCGCTGTTCGGTCCGCCCCCTATGTCATCATTGAGTAAACTTTGACCCTGTACCTCACAGTCAGCAGACACATTCCAGGCAATCGGCAGCAGACCCTCCATCCCAGACCCTCCCACCTCCTGGACAGCATCCATTTTACATTCATTGTGAAGCTGCATTCTTAGTGAGCTGTCCAGGAGGTGGGAGGGTCTGGGAGGGAGGGTCTGCTGCTGATTGGCTGGAATGTGTCTGCTGACTGTGAGGTACAGGGTCAAAGTTTACTCAATGATGACGAATAGGGGGCGACCGAACAGCGCATATGTTCGCTGTCCGTGGCGAACCGTTCGGCGAACCGTTCGGGACATCACTATTGGGCACATAAAATACCTTGTTTTTTTTATTATATATATATATATATATATATATATATAGATATGAGGTACAGACTTATCACTTGTAGGCATTTAGGCATGACATCTGAAAGGTACTCATGCATACAGTCACTGGATCTGGCATTATTTCCTACTCCTGAAATGTATAGGTTTTGCTCCATTATTTCTTTACATAGAGGCCGAATCTTGTGTTACTTTACATAACCATATTAGGTTATTACACTTGGCAGCGCATTGTCTGTTTTAACAGAGGCCAAGAGGCTACTTTTCTTATGTAAAAAGGCTCGAGTAGATACCCGTTCTTGTGATCAAATTAACAAGCATTCCTAGACAGTTAATGTCAAGTAGTAGGCTGGATTAACTGCTTGAATGCTGGCCACAGAATGTTCTACACCGTATACACAGTGGCATGTGGTACACACTCATCTAGCCTTGTAACTGCTGTGAATCAGCACTCAGTATTACAACCCTTTCACTGCAGGCCTGGCAATGACCCATCTCTGCTTAGGCATGAATTAGTGATCTTTACCCACAGCAGATGTCTCAGATTCATGCATTTTGCTGGAAGCCAAACATGTGTAAAAGAACCATCGAGAAATTAAAGGAATGAATTATACCATCATCTTAAACTGAGAAAATGAGGGTGTGTGTATTCCAACCAGAGGGTGGGGGAGCATGATGTGACTGTGATTTTAGTAGAATGACATAATTAATTTTCATAGGGACAAAACAATGTGCAGGTTTGACAGTAATTGTGGCAAGTGGGTGTCTAAAGAAGGGATTTATCTTCTTTAGTGTTATAGCTATTTTAGTTTTATATTGCATGGTATTAAAGCAGGCAATTAAATCAAATTTAATACTGTGAAGGTTAACACACCCAACACAATTATTTGATAAAATTAAGGAGAATTTGACCAGTGATGAAACGTCAATGTCTAATGAATTAAGCAATAAAACTTGTTTATTGCCAACTACTCCAGGCGTTGCTCCTGGGTTTATTCTCTAAACAGTGGTATATGTATAGATTTCAAAAGTATTTTTAACCTCTAAGCACTGTATGGTAGTGAGTTTAAATCACATTTAAGGCTTAAAGAGTTAAGCTGTGACAATAACTGAGCTGGTTTACTTTCTAAATCAGCTGTTTAAATTGTTCACTTTCAGTTATCAATCCTTTTCAGTTTGGCGGTTGCAAAATTTAGGCCACAATAACAGTTAGAAAAACAATTACTGAGTGGCTTTACAAATAAAAAATATTATATAGAGTGATTATTATATAGACTCATACAAAGACTAGAATATGTAACCCAAGTCAGTAAAACATAACTCACTTTCACTATTATTATTTATAGAATTTTAACATAATCTTCTGGGTTATAGAACAAAAATAAAACAAAATCAGAAAGATGTCTTAAAATAAAAGATAATTGTCACGTTTATCATAGTTCTCTTGTTATACATTGGGCCCAGCACATATTACTTTTATTATTATTTTTTTCACTTTAAAGGGTTAATGTAATAAGCATGTTTTGTACATAATATAATGGGGGAACAGAGAGGGTGGGGGGTCTACTCTGCATTACATCTGTTGCTTTTGTTAACTTGTGTTGTAAGCTTCCCTTCCTTCTCCTCTGACCCCTCTCCCCTTCCCTCACAGCAGACTGTGACATGGGGTGTCTAAAAATACATAGATGTTAGAAGCAGTTAGAGCATGGACACGTCTGAACCAATCCAATCCCCTGCTATCCATAGCACCCAATCCAATTCTTGCTCACTATCTCAAAGGGGATTAGGAAAATACTCATCTTAGTTGTATATGGTAATGGCTAAGGCATTCCTGGGAGTCCATGCCTCTGACGTTGGGGGGGAGGGAAGTGGAGAGCAGACCAGAGAGGGAGGGGGCATCAGTTTTCTTTAAAACCAACTCCATCCTGCACTCCACACTTTTCAAACAAGTTGTTGCAGCTTTCTGCTCTGAGCTTTTACTCTCTATCTCATTCTTTTTTTTTCCCCCTCTGCCTATCTTTGCTGGGACCTTTACAGCTTTGGGAGTGAAGAATTCCTGCCTCTGTTTTATGATTCATTTTTTCCTTCTTTTCTTTCATTCAACAAGAAGAGAAAAAAAAAATCCCAAACCACAGATCTGACCTGCTGCACTTTGATTTTGTGCTCCTTTCCTCCCCTCTTACTCCCTGAAAAACAAGGGATTCACTGAAAGGAAACAGGAGACAGGAAGAAAAAGGTGGAAGTGGATTATACAGTGATAACCCAAACTCTCCCTCCCTGCTCTGCTACACTACAAAAGGTTAAGTGGGAGATACGTGAAGGGGTTAACCAGACCCTGCCAAAAATCACCTCACTGTTTCCAACAAGAGGACAAATAATAAGGGAACTAATTTGATTGTTGAGGTCAGATTTAGCAGCTTTAATTCGATTTCACAGAGTGAGATTTGGATCCAGCCGTCCCAGAGCCTTTACTTACTTTCCTATCTCCACCCTTTTTTTTCTCTCTTGCTGATCCTCATATAAAAAGCAGAAAGTTACAAATCCAAAGCCATCATGAGCAGCAACGATTACTACGACCAACACCAATACCAAGGTGAGGAAGCTGATGAGATGCCAGCCACAGAGAAGGACTTGGCTGAAGATGCCCCCTGGAAGAAAATTCAGCAGAACACCTTCACCAGGTGGTGCAATGAACATCTCAAGTGCATGAACAAACGCATTGGGGACTTGCAAAAAGACCTGACGGATGGCTTGAAGCTCATAGCCTTGCTGGAGGTCCTGAGTCAGAAGAAGATGTACAGAAAGTATCACTCCAGACCCAACTTCAGACAAATGAAGCTTGAAAATGTATCAGTTGCCTTGGAATTCCTGGACAGGGAGCACATCAAACTAGTGTCTATAGGTGGGTTACTGCCTGGGGCCCTTGGGGGAGTTACAAAGTGTCTGTTATGGTTATAATCATTGTTAACCCATTGAATGACAGAGGGTGAAAAGGATACTTAACCCCTTAAGGACCAAACTTCTGGAATAAAAGGGAATCATGACATGTCACACATGTCATGTGTCCTTAAGGGGCTAAATTAAACCCCCTGCCACTCAAAGGTCAAAATAGCTATGCTTATCTACCCAGACATAAACAAAATGCACACACACACACACACACACACACTCACACTCACACACTCTCTCTCTCTCTCTCTCTCTCTCTCTCTCTTTCTATTAAATAACAGCAAGTATATCAGGCGTCTTTATTGAAGACGCTTTAAAACAGGTCTGCTAATACAGGCTGCTTTTAATATTCATATACGGTGACTGGCTATATGCACATGTATGTGGGAATAAAACACTTTTTGATCATTCTTTTGTGGTGGTGGTGGTGGTGGTGGTAGTTAGAACAAAATACACCGTTTGGGATAAACTTATAATGGACAATGAATGAAAAGCATCTGTTTAGATGCTGGTTGAATTAGGTAGCTGTGTGATTCCAGAGGACTGGGTGTATACAGCAGAGGTCCTGAACTGTAAAATATGCCTGTTACATAGTTGCTTTCTTAAAAATCACTTTTTTTTCCCATTGTGTAAAGACTCTAGTTTCTGGAGGCTCCAGGTCTGCTTGTGACATCATTGTTTACAAGATCTGGCCTATGCCATTCTTTATAGTTTGAAGTACTCCTTTACATTTCTGAAAGGATGTTTATTTTAAAGAAGTTATTATGTTTAGTTTGGAACTTTTTTAAGTTTTACCAAGTTATGTTTTTCCAAGTTATGTTTAAGAGTTAAATGGAGTAGTGTAACTTCTAGGGTTACTTTTAGAGATTTAGAGGAATATTTTGATATCTAAAAATGATGTAACTCTTACGTGGGAGGTTTCGATGAAGTCATGCTAATGTCAAGTAGAATAATTATGATCAATCGATAATTCTCTCTTGAATGTGTGTATTTTTTTTAATGATCATAAAATCTTGGGGATTATAGACATGGTTATTAGAAACACATTTCACAGTACTCCAGAGACATTGTAAAAAAAATTGTGAAAATACTAAAATAATATGGTAATGTTTGTTCGTACGAAATTATTTTTTACTTTATATATATATGCTTATATTTTGCTTCACGGCATAATTAACTTTTTTGGGGGGCGAGGGAGGAATGCAAATGAAAAAAAAAAAATATTACAATCAGGAATCAAAGAACAAAATCTGAAAATTACTTTAAATCTGTGAGTTGACTGCATTCACATTGCTTTCTCCTTTTTTCCCCTTTTGGACAGCAATGTAAATCCATTCCTAGTTACTGTAGAAAATGTCTATACCTGGGAAAATTTTACATGAGCTGTAGCCAAAATTCTTCAGAAAATGAACAGTTGTATGGAACTTCTTTCACCTATTCTGTTAGAATGGGCACCAAATACCAAGCATACACAGTCAGAGAATATTCGGTATAATCATATTACAGCTTGATCGTTTATTCTGAGGTGTGCCTACGGATCTTATTGTGAGGAGGAGAACCTGACCTCCTCATTCAGGGAAAAGAAATGAAGGCCACAATCTACAGGGTCACTTCATTCACAAATGACTTGCAAAAATTCAGGTAATATAGTAGGGCACGATGCCAACTGATTGTTTAATAGGTCCAAACATGTATTATTATTATTAGTAGTAGTAGTAGTAGTAGTATTTAATTCCCCAGTGCATTACAATATTATGAAACCACTTTAAGAACTGAAACATGATTTGATCAGTATGGTGATTCAGCAGTGATGTGGTAACTGCTCAAATGACAATTATTCCACCAAAATGGTTTTTAATTCATTAAATTGCACCTGTAAATCACAGTTGGTGATGTGACATCTCCTGTCAATGAGCAAAGTAGATTTGTCGAGGCACTCCTTTTTTACATTCTTTTTAGAGAGAACTTATCTTTGCAATGTATTCACTGCATTATTTTTAATATAACGATGGTTGATTTCAGGGTCCAAGGGTATTATTGCAAAATTATGCTATAATTATAAATTAAAGGATCACTATAGTGTCAGGAAAACAAACTCGTTTTCCTGACACTATAGCATCCTTAGGACCCCCCTCACGATCCCCATCCCTCGGCGTCGCAGAAGCACCTCTAGCGTCTGTCAGGAAGACAGCCACTAGAGGTTGGATTAACCCTGCAATGTAAACATAGCAGTTTCTCTCAGACTGCTCTGTTTACATCTGAAGGGTTAAAACCTGGTGGACCTGGCACCCAGACCACTTCATTGAGCTGAAGTGGTCTGGGTGACTATAGTGTCCCTTTAAGACCCACAACTAAAATCTCCAAATCAAATACAATGTGATTTTTTTTTTTTTTCATCCTTATTTGATGTTCTTATATTTCTCTTAAAGTAGATTACAGACTTTCAAATAATTGCTCAATCAAATTTTGACTTGCAGTTAATCTCAGAAGGTGGATCAGATATTTTTTCTTGTCCAGATTGCAGATCAGGACGGGATTTTAATATTTTTTAACAATTTACAATTTAGATGTAGTTTATATATATTTATGCTTATGCTTTTTCTGGAGTTAGAATGCTGATTATGGTCATGATGGGTAGAATGATGGCATTACACACAGTGTGTGGGGGTTTACAAAAGGATCTGTTTCAAGACTGCTAATGTGTGTCTGACTCTTTTACTACAATAATAATCATGCTATCTTGCCAGATAAGATTAAAATGCATAGAAAACAGACTCCAGTTATATAAGGAAACAGACAAACAAGTGTGTCATTAACTTAAAGGAACACTGACATTAGAAATAAATCTATTTTTAACACCAGAGCGTTCCTTTTTTAGTGTAGATTTAACAAAAAAGGTTAAAAAAACATGCATTTTTTTCTGTAATCCAGCACAGGGACAGTCTCCCCTCTGTTGCTCGCCTAGCCCACAGTCAAATCAATCATGATGATCTCTGTGTGCGATGGAGAAGCATTGTGGACCTATGGCATATAAGTGGCTATTACCGTGATCCACCATTGCAGTGCTTCACAGACAGAATTTCTCAATCCAATGCTTTCTTTTGAGAGGCTTTAGCTGCATTTACTGTCGTCATGCTGTTTGTCATGTTTGTTTGCTTGTTTGAACATTGCAATTCTTAAGGAGGAAGCCTCTTGAGGTGTATTTTTGACCGATTGTAAAAATTGTCTTATCTCAGAAACAGCAATATATTACATTGTCCAAGAAAAGAAACAGCATCGATGCACCAAATCACTACATTACGATCTAGTAGTTTTTGTGTTTAGAGTCTCTCTTTAATGCATTGTATTACATCATTTGCAAATTTTCAGCCGTTGTATTTATACATAGCATTGCTCCCTTATTCTTGTCAATTACTATTGCTGTATAGGCGTAACTAATCAAGCTTCAGTGAAACTTGAAGCATGTTAAAAATATATATCTATAGTTATCTATAGACATGTACTTTATATATATATATATATAATGATCATATTTGGACAAGAATCTATTCTTGCAGCGTCAGCTGCTAGTTGGTAGGGTCTAGGCATTTAAACAATTTGGCACTACAACAATTATCATATTTACATTGTATACACAAATGTGCATGTGTGTATTGCTTGTTTTTGTTTATTTAACAACACCCGTTGTTGTTGGGGAATTCCTTAAATTCTATCTCAGTGGAACTCTTCTCTGATGTTAAATATTTTAAACACCCCACACCTGACTTTGGGTTGTGTTCAATAAACAGTGTTCTTAAACCAACTTGCAAAACGTTGGCAGAAATAGCAAAGCTAGGAAAATTCTCTGACATTTTCCCATCACGATACAAATTAAATATCTCAGTGACCTGGGTCATTGGTCCTGTCCTTGTAATCCTGCACTGTAAATGCATTTCAGGGTTAAATCCATCACAAGTGGCTGTCACACTTACAACCACTAGAAGCACTGACAGAGTAAAACTTGGTCACATGTTCAAATTTACTTTCAGTTCACTTTAATTCCCTTTTAATTCATTTCCCAACAATTGTCACTTTAGCAAATAACCCTGAGACTGGGAACATTGGTAAAACAATTAAAATGTACTAAAAGAGAATGTGGGTACTTATTAACTAAACAGCGAACTGTAATGAGATGTTAGAGGCTTAGACTGAAATTAAAAGTGTTGGAAAGTATTTCAAGCTATAGTAAATTTGAAGTTGTTTTAATACTCAAACAAATTGGTCTAAATTTTGAGTCAATTGCCAGCTCACTGTCTAGCTGAGAAGGATACTATGGGTCCTATTCAGATGATCAATTTGGCCTCCACCATTCATTCTTCCCATCGGGATGGTTGATGGTTAAAGCAAATTTATTGTTCTCCCTGTCTAACCACTAGGCCCTAGGTGGCCACCGAGCATCACCTTATGAATAATTAGTCAATATACATTAGCATACATTTCGACTGTATTTTTACTTTTTTTTATAAATTCTAGTTATGTCTGTACACTGTAATAGTCACTGGTTAGCAGATAGTGCAAGTAAACAGGCGTTGGACCCCTATCTAGTTAGTGTAAAGATTATGTTCATGTGCACATGCACGGAAGTTGAGTTACGTGTACAGCATATAACTGTAAAGACAATTATTAGTATACAAATGCAGAAAGGATTCTTGGTATACAATTGTTTGTATAAAAATGCATTCAATTTGAGTGCACTCTTTACAAACATAAGGGCGATTGACTAAGCAGTAAATTGTGGTGAACCGAAAACCTCATTTCATTATTCAGGCTTAAATAGCCAAGCCTTGACTACATGTCATTAGTAGCCTTTTTTAGAATCATCTCTTTTGGCCTGTTGGCCATATGTTTTTTAAGATCACGTCTAAGACCTGAACTATTTGATTATGTATGGCTAAAAATGCATTTGTTAGACAATAATTTTAAAAGTATATATTTAACTTGAGAGTTTTCCAGATTTGCTGGGTAGTTTTCAGAGACTGTTTTGTGGCCTTCTATGTCTTATATTGTTTTAAGCACCGCTGGCTGGAACTGATATGACAGGTGTGTGTGACACAAAGCAAATCACTTAATGATATGAGTTGACAGCTTGTGTTTTAAAGAAATGGATGGGGAGGGGAGAAAGTACAGTTGACACATGCTAATCACATGGAAAACTAGCATGGTGCGGTTCCACGTTTACAGCATACTATATGATCCAGATCTCACTAAGCATTATCTTAGACTAAATAGTCAGCTATTTCCACAGTAAAATTAAGAAAAAACAAAAACAACTGTATTCATTTCAGACAATAACCAGGTTAAGAAAGCAATGCAAACTATTTTCTAAATCACATTTATTCACTTTGCTATTAATCAAAGTGAAAATACAGTCTGACTTCAGGACTCAGGATGATCAATGATCAATGAGCAGAAATGGAGTAATTCTGTACTAAACAGGGTCTAGCTATTTTCAGATCATTAATCCCTTTACTCTCACACTGTTCATAATTGGACTAATTTTTGTTTTGTATTTTATTTCAAAAGCAATGCAAAATTAAATTTGCTATAAAGTCCCCACTCTTTGACATAGGGTCCCCAGAGACATTTCTTTGACAGTTATTTGACCATGAAGAGCAACACATTTCTCTGCCAGAGCCCTAGTCAGCCTGTCTATATTTGGAATGCTGTGTATAGTACATATGGCTTGATGCCATATGAACCAAAAGTGTATGAACATTAAGATCACATTTAGAAATTATTCTTACATTCTGGTGGCATTTTTAGGATTTACATTTTCAAAAATCCTACCAGATTTTGTAAGCAGTATGTGATAACTGTTTACTGCCTCTCTGATAGAAATAATGCAAGATGAGAGTTACGAGACAAATAACCCTTAAATTATGAAAAATAAACTAAAAGTTAAATTTTAAATACATTTATTTTTTAAATCCGAAAAAACAGCATGCTGGACACAGAATTGTTGTTTTGTCTTATGCAATAATTCTTCCTCTATATCCCATGTCTCAAATTAATATTGCCATATTAGAAAAAAATACATATATATATTTTTTTATATTTGATTTGAGTAATTTAGTGTAACATGTGTCAGTTATATTTCATGGAATAGTCCAGGTCAGCTATCAGGTCCCCTTAGATCTTTCAGGATTAGGTAAACTGAGTCGATGTAGGGTGGCATGGTCGAAACGGCCAGTGAATTGCTAATGCCCACATGATACACTGTATGATAGAATTTGGAAAACTGTCTGCTAAATTATATTATTAATTTATTTTGCTCGGTATAAAGGACCATCATCGATAGCATTCACAAACATCTCTTAAGGTGAATGTTGGTGTTTTCAACTGCAAACACTAAGATTAAAGTTCTTGGATGTAAGTTTCCTTCTAAAATGATTGGCCATTCTATGCTGATATATTATCCGTGTCAAGTCACATTATTATCTGCTTGTTGATCTAATGCAGACCAAATAGAAACCCAACGTACATCTGATCACGTGTAATGAAATCCATACCTTGCAAAGGAGAATGTTTCCCATTTTGACTTGAGCACAGCAGGATAAATCAGAATAACAGTCATTAACAGAGCAAGCTGTGCTAGAGCTGAGATATTTATGAAACCTGGCCTGTAAGTCACATTAGTGGGCTGGAGTTCACCATCAATGCTTCAAATGTTACTAATAATACAAGCTCTCTTTCAGAGATATCCACTCAAGTTGGACAGGGTCCAGTCTAATATGAGCATGACACCTGCCTTTCTCATCCCCCTCCCACAGCATGTGTGAAATATTAAAAATATAACAGATTTCATGCAGCCAAGCCAGAGGAGGCCTGCTATCAGCCTCATTTTAGAATTAGACCTTTATTTGAAAGTAATTAATTTAACCATTTAATGTTTTCTTTAATACCATTACATCTTAGATAACGGCAACTTTAAAACTGTGCCTAGAAAACACTTGATGTACGGAGTCCGATTTAATTGAGCAACATTTGTAGAAGTATATATCTTGTTAATTAAAGTGTGGTCGTACCAAAATTTTTTTCCATTGAGGTCCATCTCGCCCAATCGACCAAATATCTGAAGAGATATTAAGGCTTGTGTTCCCTTCCTCATTCTTTGTATGTGCTTTCTAAAAGCAGTGAGGACTTCTCAGAGACAAGTTTTGGTTTCATCAGAAAAAAAGTGTTTATGTAGCAATATTGACATGCTTCTGTCTTTCAATGAGAAGCATTGGATTGGCCAGGAGATCATTCCTAATTATGTTCTCCCAGATGTGGAGAGGAACTGCAGCAAGTTGATGGCATCACCACTGGATTATAGATATGTCACTTCATTTTTCAGAGACTTGGTGGGCCTTCCTAAATTAAAGGACCACTTAGGTTACCCAGGGCACTTCATCTTCATCTTTTAACACTGCAATGTGAAAACATTGGTGTTTTTTTAGAAAGTGCAATGTTTTCATTGCTGGGCTAATTCCACCTCTAGTGGTTAGGTCGCCTCCTCCGTGATGTTGCATGAGGTGGAAAGGTAAACAGCACAGAGGGAGCTTCAGCACTGGAAAAGGATAAGTAAAAAGTTTTTTTACATTCTTTTTTGACACACAGAGGGGGCGATTGGGACATCTATAACTAGTGACATGGACACTAAAGCTTTAATGTTCCTTTAAAAGAAGAAACTCTCCAATGTTGGAATAAATGAATTTCATTCTAAAGTTGAAGTGCTCCTTTTAGATGCAAAAATTAAGAAAAGTGTATGTATGTCTACACTGCATATTCATACAGTAGTGTCACATTTATTTGTTGCTGTTCAAGAATATAAGACACCAGCATGTGCCTTGGACATGTGGCTGCAAACCTTTTAACTAGAATAAAATAAACAAATATGGATGGATAGATGGATGGATGGATAGACAGACACACAGACAGACAAACAAGAAGCATAGGTGTTTTGCTGGATAGACGGAAAGATAGACTGACAGGATGGATGGATGGGTAGATGGATAAGTAGATGGGCAGACAGACAAAGGTAAACTGACAGGAAGGATGGATGGACAGACTGAGATAGTCCGATAGGATGGATAGACCTCAACTAGTTTGGTGTACATTTCAGTTGTTAACGTATGAGAAAGTGTTAGATACTGTAGATCAATAGAGAATTTCCCTGTAAAACCAAACAAACCACAAATCAATGTTTACATATTGCACAAGGAATAATAAGTCGAATTCCAGTAGATGTAGGTGAAAACAGATGGTTACTCATTTCAATGTAAATATTGCTGGGAGGTCTAACAGAATAAAAAAATAAATAAACACATAATTGAGAAACATATGTGAAAATATCACAAGTGCAGAAAATAAATATAGACATCTCTATACTTTTGTATTGTACATTCCAGAAGTATTTGAAATGTAGTGACCAAATATTGTTTAGGCAAGCAGAGGCTTTCCCAAATTCATTTATTGTGTTTCTTTTTTAAGAAAAAAATGTACATTCCAACTATGCTCGTGGCAACCCTGCTGGTCTCCAGATGGTATGTGACTACCTAGTTTAATGAGACCCCATGACTGCCAGGCCATGCAGATTGAACGTAGAATAAAGGATACTTTAAAGGAATTAATACGTGTGGATAATACAGTGGATGGATACAGCTTTCTCTGATATTATTGTAAATTAATGTAAAGAAATTAGAAAATGTAGGCACCAGAAATACAATCTAGAATCAGAAACACTAACTGCTTGTCCTGTTTGTATACAAACTGGAGGCACTATACCAAGTTGATCCTTATATCTACTGAAATTAGTTACAGTAATTATTAGAGTGTTAATTTAATCAGCCTGGGCAGTATTGTGAAATGGAAGTGTGCACATTATTTGCACAAGCAGTTGTGCACAGTTGCAGGACGGGGCAGTGGAGACTTGCAGGGCATGTTCCCTCTGAATGCATGGAACTATAACGTCACTGTTGTCACACCAATATGCTTCCACTCTGATTCAGATTGGAGTGGAAGTGAGGGTGGAGAGTTGAGTTTCAGCAGAGTTACACATGCTGAGGTGTCAAATAGGGTGCAAGATTTGTTAGGCCTTGTGGAACTACCCCTTCTATAGTACCTAACATTAAAGGAACACAATAGGATCAGGAACACAAACATGTATTTCTGACCCTATAGTGTCAAAAACACTATCTAGCCCCCTTTGCTCCCCCAAAATAGTAGAATCTTACCTTTATTTCAGTCTGCTGGTGCTGGCTCTGCCCGATCTGCCTCCTTGGAAGTGATGCTCTGAGCCAATCACAATGCTTTCCCATAGTAAAGCATTGGAGTGGCTGATATTGCCAAAGAGGTGGGGCAGGAAGTGGAGTCAAACGCCACCCTGGCCAATTATCATCTCCTCATAGAGATGCATTAAATCAATGCATCACTATGGGAAAAGTTCAGTGTCTCCATGCAGAAGGTGGAAACACTGAATGTCAGTGCTGCAAACCCAGGAAGCACCTCTAGTAATCATCTGAAGAGTGGCCACTGGAGATGTCCCAAGGCTGTAATGTAAATACTGCCTTTTCTCTAAAAACAAACAAACAAACAGTGTATACTGCTAAATGCCTGCAGGGACTGGCTATACTCACCAGAACAATTACAATAAGCTGTAGTTGTTCTGGTGACTATAGTGTCCCTTTAATACTTATGTAACCGTTTATTATTTAAAAGCCCCAACTACGTGTGCAAGACAAGCTCACCTTAAAATCATTCACGTAAGATGTAGATATACTAGAGTCTGTGGTTAATAAACTTACGCTGTGTCTTTGAAATATAACCTGTTAGTGGTGCTCGAGCCCTGTTTTTTGCTTCCTTTTAAACCATTGCAAGTTAATTAGCTGGAACCGCCAATCACATGGGATTTCACCAAACCTTTAGTCCATATGTTGAAGAGACATACAGCACAGAATATTACTAACTCTTCTGTCATGAGAATGGAGTGTTTATGGCCCCAAAGGAACTTTCAATCTGCTAATCAGTTTGGATTTTTTTTTTTGCTTGAAACACTGTTTATGATTAGGGTGATGAGGCAGCTTTTAACAGCAAACTTTATGAATAGCATGTTTTTTTGGGGGGGGGATTTTTTAAATTGATCAATTTACAGAGAGAAGTCAAGAAGTGCATAACTCTTGATATGGACAGAAAAATATGAATCAACTTAGTGACATTATGAATATTCTGATAATGAGCTAGCTTTATTAAGGGGTGAAAAGTTAAAGAGTGAATGCTAGGTGAAAATTGCTAGTATTTTATTTGTAGCCTGTTGTAAACTTAAGACTTATCAAAGATTGTTCAGATTATTCCATGATCATAATATCTGGCAAAGACTGTTTGTTTTTTTGCACTGGTGGATTTAGTGGTTCTTGAGTGTGGTAGTTGTGGTGTAGAATTTCTGATTTTCTTCCTGTAGAGACTGGTTGGCATAGACCCTTCCTTCCGTCCGCCCTGGAACACAGTTGTCACAGATCTCCTGTGCTCATCCAGTTGAAAGCAGAGACATAAAATATATCTGCCAGTGACACAGCAAATAGCACGGAGTGTTGGAGAAGGTCACATTGGGAAAAGCTATAAGCACAAGGAGAACAGGAATGACACATGCAATCCTAGAACACTAGAATACAAAACTCATCTGCCAAATTTATATAGTGAGATTACAACTCCTGGGGGTAAATCCAAATATAATTATATAAATTAAAGAGTTCAGTGTGTTCTTTATAAGAATTCTACATACCCAGCCTCCTGAGTGTATCATCGTTGATTTATTAAACCAGCCTTGATGTAATGCCCCATATTGAGGAAGAAGTCCATGCTAAAGTTATATCTACCTTCCACCAGCTCTGTTCAAATCTCACCAAATTTTCTTAAAATTCAATATTTGCTGCGTATTTAGAGTATCTAATTTCAAAGGATTTCCCTGTTCTAAATTATGTGTTCTATTTTGTATATACTCTGTTGTTTTGTTCATGAACCTGACCTTACAAGCTAATAAAATGTCTGAATGTAAAAAATACAAAAAATGATACTTTGGTGGTACATCTCAAAATATTAACTTTTAAATAATTAATCAAAAGAATCAGTTTGAAAATAACATAACTATAATCTGCAACTCTAAAAACTACTTTTAGAATTCCTTAGATTCCGGGTCTTATGGTTAGACATGGATGAATAGTTTAGGTATGTTTAGCTTTAGATCAGGGTTGAATGTACACTGCATGTCTCCCTTGTGGCCCTCGACAGAACAAGATAAAAATAACAAGCCTAACACTTGTATGGAAATAGCAGTTATGGGCAGAGTAAGATGACAAGTGGCCATGCTCAAGTGTGCAACAGCATTATATAAAATAGCTCCTGCGGCACATAGCATAACAGCTAGTCCTTCTTTGTTTGTTAGTGCAACTTTAGTTTGTTCCTACACAGGGGTGTATTTATGAGCATGATGACTAGCATTGAACCATGAGAGGCAGCGTGGAAGTGCTGGCTCACAAACAAGCTGCTCAGTTGTTCACCCAACTTGATGGCTGTAGAATGCATTCAGGGTTCACATATTGATTTGAATAAACATGAAAATGTGAAAAGAGTGCCACTCAGACACCAAGTGACACTCTATGCATCACCCACTACTTCACATTTACGGCAGCTTATCTTCTGTAACGTAATGCTTAATAATGATAAATAATTTGTGAGTGAAAGCTATGTATATTTCATTTGCTACAATGAAAGTTTAAGGAGGATTATAAACACCAAAACGTATCTGATCCTTAATCTAATGCAAATTAGAAACAAATTAGAATCATACAAAACAGATTCTATAACATTAAGAGCAGGATCTGACTATGAGTAGTAAATAAGGGCAGTTATCTAAAGTAATCTAAAAACCTGTATAATGTTAAAAATAAACATATTTATTTTTCATGTTATATTTCCTATGTTTGCAGTGTGTTCAGCAAAACAAAGTTGTAGAGACAATTCTAAAACCCCGTCCTGCTTGCGCAGGCTGTAGCCGAGATTGTTTCTTTAAGGGGCAGGTGGCTCGGAGCTTGCTCGGTCAGTGGCAGGTGTAACACAGTTGGCTCCGACACTTAAACAGTTGTTTGCGATCCTCCAGCAGTAAACAGCTGAAAACACCAAAGTCTGATGACTATTGAGTCACAACAGAATTCTTAGGAATGGCAGCTGCCTTCCTGGAAATACCAGACCCTTGTCTTTGTCTTTTACTTGTTATCACTTTTCATCTGCCCCTCCGATGGGTTATTAACAAGTCTGCTTTAATTTATCCCATTCAGTGCTTCTTTAAATCAAGGGTGGTCCCAAACACAGCTTTTAATAGTAGGCTCTTTCTATTTTCTGTAACACACCTAACATGAGGTCCTCATGTACTTACCCTGTAACACACCTAACATGAGGTCCTCAGTCCAGAAATATTTCTGCTCCTGTCATCCTGCCATACATATGATAATGTATACCATAATACATACCATAATTTAATAATAAGATAGATAGACAGACAAACAGGACGCATAGGTGTTTTGGTGGATAGATAGAAAGATAGACTGACAGACTGGCTGGATGGGTAGATGGACAGACAGACAGACAAAGGTAGACTGACAGGAGGGTTGGATGGACAGACTGAGGTAGTCTGACAGGATGGATAGACCTCAACTAGTTTGGTGTACATTTCACTTGTTGAAGTATGAGAAAGTGTTTGCCAAGAAAAGGGTCTGGCATGCAATTTAACAGGGAACAGCTTTTAAATGTGTGATCATGTATCTCCCCAACGTACAGTTGATCCTGTAATCCCCTCTTTTTTTTTCACTTGCCCTCCAGCTGACTAGGGACTTGCGATTCTTCTTTTCATTCCCCACCCTATTTAGTACTGGGCATTCTAACTACTTTTGTTCGATAATTTAATGGAAAAATTGAGAACAGAGTGGAATGCTGAGCATGCATGAGTCATAATGTTTGTAAGTAAGTGTATACACTTTAGACATACATGTTTTAATGCTTGTCAGCAGGTATGTTTTTATGTTGCACTATACGTGCATGCATATACCAGATAGAAGGAAAAGGGATAATGTATAGCTGGTCTTCTGACCACGATGAGAACTGTAATCTACAACGGACAAATTGCCAGTGGTCGCTTATACTTATATTTATAACCACAGTTAAAGAATAAGATACTATTTCAGTATATATAAGTGCTTTTCTGCTAATACTCAGTATTTAAATATTTTCTGTAAAGGCATGTTTCTTCAACTCAAACCATGTGTGCTTTTGAAATATTTGAAATCCTAGTGTGTTTTCTGTTTTTGGCTTTTGTTATGGTTATTATTACAGTGTTGCATATAAGGAAGTAGCAGTAATGTGCATGTTGTTTAATCTCCTTTTCAATTTCTCTCTGATCAAGGCCCGAGCTAAAGCTAATATTGCTGTAAATGCCCCTCTATGTGGTGGGACCAATTATCCTTAATTTATTTAGTACCTGTTAATAAAAATATTTGATACATTTTGTTTTAACTTAGTCATTAAAAAAAAATATATATATATATAATTTTAATAGTTGCAACACTTCTATTTGCTATTGTTCACCTGCAATTATATGATCAAGATATGTTTAAAGAGCTTGTCTCAGTGCACTTTAACTTTAGGAGAAAAGCATGATGTTAAGATATAAAATGCACCATACATGGTCATATTACAGTACATTCTGAGATGTGTGTGCATGTTGTTTTTTTACATCCCCTATTTAAAGGACCCGTGGGAATGTCATAGAATATGTTTGTAATTCCTTGACTACCATGCATTTATCCTTAGAGTGCAACAGGGAGGTTGTGCAAATTATTTGCAGGGAGATTATTTGTTTCTGCATATATAGATTTGTTATTGAAGGAGTGTAATGCAAAATGATAATTAAAGACAAACTGTAATCTCTGCTCATATAATTTAACTTACAACTAATGTAACCCCTCAGTAACCCTTAGATACAGGCATATGATTAGAAACATGGTCGTTCTCTGTAAATCAAAACGCACTAACCAAACAGATGCTTGTACAGTTTGCCACAGATGTGGGCATAACGTGTGCTCTAGACATAGGAAACCGTGAAAAGCATGGCTCAATGTATGTGCATGTTACTAAGGTGTTTAGAGAACCTATCAAAATCCCTACATCTAGCAATGACAAAACCAGACTGCTCCATTACTGCCTATTAACTATGGGGAATGCTTACTTTACATCTGATGTGTTTAGAAAAGTGACACACAGCTATAGACAGGGAATCACATCCACTCTAGTTAGAATATGCTATAATCAGTCTGATTACCAGAGAGGCCACACATTATATCTAAAGTAGGAAATTAAAGTTTGGGTGGTGTAATCAGAAGTTGGGTATTCTTGGGAATATTTAGGTGGCGTTGTGATCTATAATTTGCGTAGTTAAATCATTTTGGACAAAATCAAGTTATTTTCATTTACAGATACTGATTTCAAATATTATCTAACATATTTACTGCGGTTTACAGAACTACTAAAGCTCTAGTTAACATTCTCTTAAATAAATAAGTAAAAGAAACCAAAAAAACGCACCTAGTGTAGGCATAAAATGGATATATTTTATAAAATGCACATGATTTTATCATGGTAGGTCTCCAATGCCTTGCATTGAAACATGTAGTCGTCCCCAGTTACAAAGAGACATGCAATCACTCACTGTTTGCAGTAGTGGGAGACTTTCAAATTCACATATTGTCAGCTGCTGATGATTGGTTGAGGCGCTCTTTGGTGCTGTCATCACAAGGCTCCATAATGATCAGATGTCAGGACTCAGGATAGCAAGGAATGTCCTTAATCTAGATGCACGGCAGCTTTACACTGGTCAGAATGCAAAATTATTACAACCTTTCTATCCATCAATGGAATAAAAGTTAAAATAAAACTTTTGTTTTCCTTTAAAAATGCATTTCTGTTAGTATTATTTTTATGGAGCTCTGTGATGCAGACAGAAAAGAAGAATAAAGAATGTGGGTCCCCTATGCAGGATACTTATACAGTATAAAGTATTTAGTATTTGTAAATAAAGTCACAGATTATATTTTTTAATAAATTGCCATTAATAGTGTAAACAAATATGACAGTAGTCTAGGGAATAAAACTGGACAAATGGAGCTCCAATCTATGTAATAATCACCTTCAGTGAATGTTGTGTTTAAGTCCATATACTATGTATAGCATTATGCATCTTATCACAAAACAGCTTCAAAATCCTTATAGTGCAATTACTCCATTTATGGTAGTGTGAAAAGTGTTGTTTTTGTGAACATTTGTTTGTGGCACTCCTGACAGCCTCCGCCAGAGATCTAAGGCCTCAACATACACATTCAAAACCCATTTGTATCTCATTTTTCTTTGTGCAAATTGGGAATGTGACATAACCAAATATCAACTATGCTGAGTACTGCACTATAGGGCGGCCCTTGCTATATACAAAATGTACCATATGACAGAGAACAGCTGTAACCACTTCAGTATCAGGCCCTTGTACAGCTAAGAACTAATGAGGTTTTGATTTGATTGGTTTTGCACTCTGTATTCCTGTAATATATCTTGGAAATCTATTACACCCCAAAAAAAACTTTCTTTCCTTTTTTTTTTGGTTTCAAGGAACCCTATAACGTTTAGAATACAAACTTGTATTCCTAACTTTAGAGTGCCTCCTCATCATTTAGATTCAGGGCCCCCTTAAATTATGTTAAAGGAAAAAAAAAAAACCTTTAACTTTTTTTCCAGTGCCGAGACTCACTCATTGCAGCCGTCCGCTCCACTTCCTGTGACATCATCCAGCAGGCCTCGCTTCTTTGTCTGACTCAGTTTTCACAGTAAAATCTCCACTAGCGACTGTCAGTAAGGCAGCCACTAGAGGTGTGTTTACCCTGCAATGGAAATACTGCCATGTCTATCAAATGGCAATGTTTTACAATACAGGGCTAACACTGCACCCAGACTACTTCATTGAGATGCAGTGGTCTGGTTGACTTTTTTTTTTCTTATCGTTAAGGACCAGGGCTGTTTTTACATTTCTGCAGTGTTTGTGTTTAGTTGTAATTTTCCTCTTACTCATTATTATTGTACCCACACATATTATATACTGTTGTTCTCACCATTAAATGGATTTTCTAAAGATACCATTATTTTCATCATATCATATAATTTACTATAAAAACAATTATAAAATATGATGAAAATATTTTTAAAAAATACACATTTTTGAACTTTGACCCCCAAAATCTGTTACACATCTACAACCGCCAAAAAACACCCATGTTAAATAGTTTCAGAATTTTGTCCAGAGTTTAGAAATACCCAATGTTAACATGTGCTTAGCTTTTTTTTTGCAAGTTATAGGGCTATAAATACAAGTAGGACATTCCTGTTTCAAAATATATATTTTTAAAATTTATCAATAGTGACATTGTAACACTGTTATCTGTCATAAATCTCTGAATCACACCTCACATGTACATATTCTTTTAACCCCTTAAGGACCAAACTTCTGGAATAAAGGGGAATCATGACATGTCACACATGTCATGTGTCCTTAAGGGGTTAAAGTAGACAGCCCAGGGTAATCAATATGGGGTATTTCCAGTCTTTTTTAGTAGCCACTTAGTCACAAACACTGGCCAAAGTTAGAATTTATATTTGTTTGTGTGTTACAAATGCAAAAAAACAATTATGAACGCTAACTATGGCCAGTGTTTGTGACTAAGTGGCCACTAAAAAAGACTGAACATACCCCATTTGCAACACCTTGGGTTGTTTTCTTTTCCAAATGGTATGCCATCATGGGGGTAATTCTTATTCCTGGGCTACCATATGGTTTCAAAGGCAAATTACCAATCTGGAAAATTTCAATGTGAAAAAAACTGAAATGCAAGCCTTATATTTGACCATTTAACTTTCAAAAACACTATAGCACCTGTACATGGGGGTTACTGTTATACTTGAGAGACTTCACTGAACACGAATATTAATGTTTCAAAACAGTAAAAATGATCACAACAATGATTTAATCTGTGAAAGTGCCGTTTGTGTGTGAAAAATGCAAAAAAAATTTCACTGACAATATCATCACTGTTATATGTTTTACTGTTTTGAATCACTAATATTTGTGTTCAGTGATGTCTCCCGAGTAAAACAGTATCCCCCATGTACAGGTTTTAGGATCTCATGGAAAGTTACAGGGTTAAATACAGTGCTATCAAATTAAATTCTCTGGACATTCAGCCTGGGTTGTCAGATAGGTCCCTCAATAAAATTACTTAATTATGTAAAAATATTACATAAATATGCACATAGAATTTAAATATATGTATATATTTGAAGTCTACGTGTATATTTATGAAATTATTTATGTATATTATATATATATATATATATATATATATATATATATATATATATTTCATATTATCTTTATTTATTAATACATAGATATATATATAATTTCATTCTAAGTGTATTTTGATATAAAGATATACATATTAATATTAAAATACAGTTAGAATAAAATTATATATATAATTTTTTTTGCATTTCATTATTTTAAATTTTTTTTATTTTTAATTAATTATTTTTTTATAATTATATATACACATATATACTATATATATATTATATATACGCCTGTAATTTTACTCTAAGTGTATTTTTATATTATGTATATATTAATAAAAAATACACTTAGTATGACGTTATACATAAGATATATATATATATATGTGTGTGTGTGTGTGTGTGTATATATATATATATATATATAAATATATGTATATCTCTTATATACATACATATATATACAGTATATATATTTTATTAACATTATTTTTATGATTTTACAGAAGCAGGGAGACTGCCTGTCAGTTCAGGCAGTCCCCCTACAGGCAGCACTATGGACGGCTATTGCGGCCATGTGACCGCTCTTTCAGAGCGATCACATGGCCCGCGGGGCCTAATTTGCCGAGGGCTGTCAGACAGTCCCCCCAGACCGAGAGGAACACTGATCGCCGGCAGGGGAGTGGCGGCAATCGGGTAAGTACTAGGTACGTCCTAGGTACATAAGGACCATTTTTGTCGGACGTACCTAGTATGTCCAGGGTCGAGAAAGGGTAAACATTTACATTGTTAGCATGACATTTTCTGACTTCTATTAATGTATACATTTTGCACAATATTTCTGAATTTACCATAATTCACTTTTTAGTCAGTGGAATCCCTAATCCCTGAAATAAAGTAATGGTGTTGCTGAAGACATCACTTCAACTAGATGCTTAATATTTTCATTTAAGATTTTGTCATTTATTTTTCAAATTTTAGACCTCAATAACCAAACTGGAAGCATAGTGAAGCATTTTTGTTTTCATTTTCATATTTTTTGGCCTTAAATTTGAAATTCACTTTGAATTCCTGACAATTCTCATTTGAATTCTACCCCGTTAAATAGAAATCATCATAAAATATGCTTTGCTGTTAAGTAGCATGTGTGTTCATATTGCATGAGATATGGAGTTACATACTCTGATTTGAAAAGTAATGTATATTGCACGTATGCTACACAGACACGATGTTGGCATTTGGTATTTAATTTGGGACACAGGGCCGCACTTTGCCAATAGCAAAGTCCTTGTAGTACCCCCTTGGTATCTTCAATCCAAATGAGCGAGTTCTGAATATAAACTTTATAACTATGCAATTACCAGCACAATCCAAACTAGCCTTTAATGCCCTTACATAGAAGAAGTCCTTCTCTTATGTTAAATTTCGCCCTCTTTTTTCTTTCTTCGTGCTCTGATTTTGTAGCCTGTAGTCATGTGACACAAGGAAAGAACACCAACAGCATTGAAGGCTACGCTGTCATAGCAGCAGACAAAAACACCTGAAAGGTTAATATGTTGTTTTTGTTTAAATCTCACACTCCTGAGGAAAGAATAAAATGTTTGGTCTCTTTAGTTTTTGTTGATACAGGTGTACTTAGTTTTGTCTTGGGTGGTGAATTAAAGCTTGTATAATATTGCGAGATAGAAAGAATGAGCAGCTATGGAGGCTAATTGCAAAAGTAGTAAATTGTGTTAGGGCCATATTAAGAATATCCATATTTCATATATGTAGCATATACAATGCTGATTCATTGCTTGACCCCAGTTAATAACAGGTTATGCATGTTTAAACATAATTTGGAATACTTTTACATTAAGATTTAAGCCTCTAATTAGGGAGTCTCTCCTTGCACACCAAAGGACAAAAATCCCTGTTGCATGTCTACTTTAATGCTCTGCAGAGACAATAACAAGAAGATGGCTTATAGGTCATCTCTTGTTGTAACTAATAAAAAAAGTAGAATGACACGTGGGCACATATAGTTAGACGTGGATATCTAGAGCTCAGACAGCAGCTGTCATTCTGTGGGGCCTCATATTCAAATTACAGTAGTGAAACCTCTGCAACATTATACAATAATAAATTTAAAATCGTTAATTTCAATGATTTTATACCTTTATACATACTGGATCTGAGCAGTTGCCCGTGTGCTTTTTGCAGTATTTGTGCATATTTAATCATCTACAATAATACCTCTTTCCTTCTGCAGACTCAAAAGCCATTGTTGATGGGAATCTGAAGTTGATCTTGGGTCTGATATGGACACTCATTCTGCACTACTCTATCTCCATGCCTATGTGGGAGGATGAGGATGAAGAAGATGCCAAGAAACAGACACCAAAACAAAGACTTCTTGGATGGATCCAGAACAAGATTCCACAACTTCCAATTACCAATTTCCATCGGGACTGGCAGGATGGCAAAGCTCTAGGTGCTCTCGTAGACAACTGTGCCCCAGGTAAACATTTCTGTGTAATATCATTTGGGCTCTGCAGTTTTTACCCTGCCCAATTCATTACTTGGGTAGGTAGGCAAAATCACATAGCAGAATTATACAATGTTTGCTGTGAAGGTCTGTAAGTCAAAGTTCCAAAAGCAGTTGCTGGATACTCTGCACTGAGCTAGATCAGCCATAGATTCAAACATTTTATACTTTCTATCTATGATATAATTTGGCAGATATAGCAACAGTTATTAACAAACCATTACACTTGAGTTGAGAGATTGGTTCAATGCAATAGTCAGTGCATAACGTCACAGGCATCACATGCTACATTGGATTACAGCAAGCATACAGGTCCAATTAATAAATTATTTATTTACTTAGCCATTAGAATTCTCTTGGAACAGTCTCAGCTGAAAAAAAATATTTGTAGTGTGCTATATTGCTGGACCATTGTGTCATCTTGACCCCTAAGCTGAACCCTGTCAGACTACATATGCACAATACTAACCCCTTGCAGCACAAAGCACTTCTGGTTTTGTATCATTTATTAATTTGATATGTGTTTACACACAATAACATATTTATAAAAGAGGGAACAATGATAAATTGTAAAAAAAAAAATAATAATAATAATTAAAACATTGACTTATTAAATATTTCATCCATTATCGTGACACAGACCTCACTCTTAATAGATATACTTTTGATTCATTTGGAAGGACAGTTTGTTGTCAAACAGAAGTTCTGTCCAACAGGCCAGATAAACAGATAGGCTGATAGCATGAGCTCAATTACATCACTTTATACACTTTACAATGTATTAGATTTTCACTTTACACTGTATTAGATTTTGTGTATTAACCATTATGGTTGTCTATGTGCTGCAATATGTATTTCTATAAAGCAATTTCAGGATTTGCAGGAACCCTCACACTATCTTATAACAAGTCACACCTGCAGGTTATCAATAGTCTTAGATAGGTTTAGGCTGCAATCTGCAAAAAAAACTCAATGGTTTCATCTGTATATGATTCTGATCAGTACATACAGTTGTTGCAAGCCTGTCTTAAAGGGACACTATAGGGTAAGGAATACAAATGTGTATTCTTGACCCTATAGTGTTAAAAACAATATTTAGGTTGCCCCATCTAAATAGAGTAAAAAATTACCGAACCTTTATCCCAGCGCTGTGCGGGCTGCTGGCGCTGGCTCCTCACCCGATTCGCATCTTTGGCCAATGTCATCAGAATTATTAAATAGGAAGTAGGGAGTGGAGCCAAATGACCTGCATGCCAATTAGCATCAGTGCATCTCTATGGGGAAAGTTCAGCATCTCCATGCGGAGTGTGAAGACGCTGAACGTCAGTGCTGCATCTTTAGTGGCCGTCTAAGTGCCACTGGAGGTGTCCCTAGGAAGCAATGTAAACACTGCCGATCAGCGTTTTCTCTAAAAATGTAGTGTTTACAGCAAAATGCCTGCAGGGACTGACTATACACACCAGAACATCTACATGAAGTTGTTGTTGTTGTTCTGGTGACTATAGTATCCTATAGAGCCCAGCTGCACACCATTCACCCCAGCTGTAAAATGCTCCATCCATCTCAACCTTCCTTTATGCTAGCGTTAGCTACAATAGCTGGGAGTCTACATTTTTGCCACCCCCATCTAGAGCCTCTAAGGGCGAACTTTGTGATCATGTGATCTTCACTTAAAGATAGATATTTACCATTAACATTATTCTTTCATCACTGACTTGTGTAAAGTCATAAATGTAACGTCTTGTGCTCACCTGCCACATTTAATATGTTTCCATGTAATTCCACTGACAACACATGCACTGCCTGCTGTAGCCACTAATAAGTATTATTTAAAGAGCCCATGCCCTTTTGCAGATGATCAGTAATATAAATGTATTAGATCATAGACAGAAATATCCCAGATAGCCCCATGAGATAGCCCCTCTCCAGCCCCTTGGTCTAGGAACAGCTGACAACCCTGTGTGTGCGCCTGATATATCTCAATGTCTTTCTTATTTATACACTCACACAGTACACAGAACTGCACTTTATGAGACCTGTGTGCGTGCTCACCCACCTTTATATGTAGTATGAGTAGATTGTGGAACTATAACTATCATTTCCAAATAGAGAAGGTAACCCACACCCACTGCTTTCATGATCTCCTTAAAGACCATTTACAATATAATGCCACTGAGTATCTCTATTCATTTAATCTATTTAATTTGATATCTGTTAATTTTGGGTCTTCATTTGGGGTAAATAATGGTAATTGCCTTGAACCTGATCATTCCCACTCAATAGACTCATTGAGTCTCTATATATTAAAACATTCACTTATCATGGGTAAATCAAAGCTCCATATAAGCTGATTTGCCAGGGGAGTTAGATCATCTTAGAAATATAATAAACAGAGAAGCTATCAGTATTACACATTTTCACGACCTATACTGAAGTTATTTTGGACATGTCCAGATCAGGTTGTTGGAAGCAGCAATTGTATTAGGGCTCCACTTATGTTATTTTGCTTGGAATTGTACAGTCATTCTGAATGTAACTGTATACTTTTGCCCGTTCAATTCCATGACAAGGATGAAATGCGGCTGCAACACTATCCAGCTAAACTGTCTGTCGGCTTGCCAAAGAGGAAGGAGGGGGAGTAGGACAGAGAAGTGTGTAATCTCATATAAGGCAAAAGACAGAGAGCACTCAAATCTTCACCCACTCCTACTGAACACTTTTTGAAGTCCAAAAGTCTTTATCCGTTGTATGTGTGTGTGTGTATATATATATATATATATATATATATATGTATATGTGTGTATATATATATATATATATGTGTGTATATAAATATATATCTTGATAAAGACCCTGTAGGGTTGAAACGTTGATATGATTTACTAACACTTGATTAAACACCGTTTGAAAATCCAAGAAAGTGCTCCTGATTGACTACATTTATATTATATATATTATATATTATCCTTTTAATAGATATAGATCACACTTCATGCTGCACTGTGTATATATACACAGTGCAGCATGAAGTGTGATCTATATCTATTAAAAGGATAAGTAGCGTGGTATATATACTGAAATCCATTCATGGTACTTTTCAAAAGTAGTCAGCCAGTAAAGCTGACATTAAAGGGTGACGACGTCAGCGATGGCCCAACCTTTCATATAGCATGCAGAGTTTTAAGGAGCGATTTAGAAAGGTTTAGTTTAATCATGAAGCTACATTTATATGTTTGCTTTCATAACAGCCAGACTTGCAGTTCTTTCCTGATGATTTTTTTTTTTTTTTTTAAACGCTGAAACAGTTTTACAGTCTATAGTCACATAGATAGACGCATGCATACACAACTGCAAACAATTAATACGTTCTTCCAGTTAATATTTTTAAAACACATAACCCCAAGACAAACAGACAGAGCAATCCTTAATGGCTCCATGACTGGGTCAAGGTCATGAAGGTTGTCGAATTCACAATGTTCACAGACCATCAGGGCTATTCACTAAACTCCAAATTATTGAAAATTAAGCCCAAATGGATACATTAGGCAAACAGAATTATGACTATGACTCAGTTGGAGATTTTTTTTTCAGATTAGCTCTTTTGCCTTGTTTTTCCATTCAGTTTTAATTTGTGATTTTACATTTTTTTTTTTTTTTTTTTAGTTTAGTGGATAACCCTGCAAGCATTGTCCAATATTTTCTTAGTCATCTGTGACCTTACCAACAATACCACAATTGATTACACAGTTTGAAACATTCTCCATGCTCCACATTAATCTTTAAAAACATAAAGCTCCATATTTAGGCCTTGTCCCACTTCAACATGAACATCACATACATGGCATAGACTGGGTCTCACTGCATATAAAGTATCATGAATAATTCAAATACATTGTCCATGCAAGAGTTATTAGTACTTTGTTTCATCTAATTTGGCCATGTACCACTTTCCCTGCTCATTGTACTTGATTTCAATGTTTCTTTGTCTTATAGGTCTATGTCCAGACTGGGAAGCATGGGATCCCAACCAACCCGTGGAGAATGCAAGAGAAGCTATGCAACAAGCTGATGATTGGCTGGGAGTGCCTCAGGTTAGAGACAATAGATAACACAACAGAGCCCTTGAGTTAGATCAAAGGTCAGATATGATATATTCCAATTTTTGCAGAATTAAAGGGAAACATATCAGGTTGTAAAAGTACGTCATAGATGGTGAAATGGAAAATGATGAGTTGGGGGATACCACAGTTACTAAACCACAAATGAAGGGAACTTCAGGTCATGAAAACCCTTGACTGTGTAATATTCATGCATTATAACGGTGATTTATTGGATAAAGCTGAAGATTTAAAATATTTGCTTTCTGAAGCTAGAAGAAAAATATAATTTGCAGAAAACCACACGTATTTTCTTTCGCAACCTTTGCTGTAGTATGCCAAACCACATCTTGGTTACATATGGTAAACTTGTTGGACTGGTAAGGATGTTTCAAATCAATTCCCGAAGATTAGTTTTTAGTCTGTAACTTTAAAACAATGAGAAAAAATGAATATCTAGGATATTGATGTGATAATATACAATGTACCAATGAGACGAAGTAGAATATCTGAGTGGAAGATAACTGATTATTGTCTCACAACGCTTACTCTGTTTATATTCAGTATTTTATTCATGGACTTGTAGAATACAAAAAAAATGTTTTCCAAAAATGTGAAGTTTTAAGTAAAAAAAAATAAGCGTTACAAAGGTGGACTATCTTGGGGTACAAAGACCAACTTCTTCCTTGTTTTGACTAAATTAAAAATGTTGGATCACAAGCATTGCATTGCGTTTTTTTACTTGCAAGTCAACATGAATGCCAGAATTATATCCAGTTGTGTTTAGAGGCTGTAATTTTTCCATCGCTGGAAATGTTTGGTTTTCTATTCTATTATGCTATTCTGTTATATATTACCTATTTTTGCTACAAAACTTGTCCTCATTTTAAAGATTCTGTCAAATCTATTGGTGTTAATGTAGATTTTTTTCATGATAAAATGTGAAATAATTAGTGATGTGTTTCCCTGTCACAGGTCATTGCACCAGAGGAGATTGTAGACCCCAATGTGGATGAGCATTCAGTCATGACCTATCTGTCCCAGTTCCCTAAAGCTAAGCTGAAGCCAGGTGCTCCCCTTCGCTCCAAGCAGTTGCACCCCAAGAAAGCCATTGCATATGGGCCAGGTATGAAAAAACGCTCAAGGCCATGAATACTCAAAAGGGTTCAATAGGTGGAAAATGTGGTATACCTAGGATATTCTGATGTTCTAAATTCTATTTGGTTTAGGATTGTATACTCGAGACATAAAGCATGATTTAGTAGAGTAGGAAAAGGTTAGGAATTATAAAGTAAATTTCAAATGTAAGACCAAAGTATTTTTCCAGTTCTGCTAGTTTGGCATTAAATTTGTAATTTATATTAAATACATTTTGGAATTCCAACAATTCTCGCTTTAGTAAATATCCCTGAATGAAAATAAGTTCTTGTGTTGGAAGGAAGGGGTTACTATGAGATGTCAGGTGGCCCCCCGCACGTCTCTAACTGCTGGCTTACTCACTGTAACAAAATGTCTGTGTGACCTCATATTCTCATTCTGCTCTGCTCCATCTCCATTTGGCAGTGTTAGGATTATTACAATATGTTGATTTGAAGCAGTCAAACACGATGCTGCCAAAACTCCCAAATGTGGACAATAAGAAGGCAGCCAGCACCAAAACATGACCTTCAGAACAGCCTTTTTCAGTCCCTGTAGACAGCCAAGTAATGTGAAATGAGAACTTACATCAGCGTAGCTATACATAGTAAACACAAATAAATCAGACTATATATCAACAGGTAGAGAACTCTTCTCTAATTTAGCCACTAGCAGTCAATGCAATTCAGCTACTGATTTATTTCGAGCATTAAAGTATGAACAGAAAGGAACCTTAGTTCCAGTGATAAATAAGGCATTTAATATAGACACATGCATATAATTCACTGAGTTCACTGAAACGTTCGGGTTTAGTCACTAAACTTGAGTTAAGTGAACTTGAATGGCAAAATGTAGGCAAAAATAACTGATAAAAATGTTGTTGCCTTTTTTTTAGGCTAAAGTTTGCCATTCAGATTTCAGTTTGCTACAAACTGGAGTTTGCCTCGTACTATTTGTAAATATGTGTTGTAGATATTATGTATGCACAATACGCACAGGCATTATATGTTGAAAAATAAATGTATATATGGTTATGAAAATTACCCAATTTCCACCATAAATGCTTGTGTAATATTAAAGGGATACTAGAGGCACTAAAACAACTTTAGCTTAATGAAGCAGTTTTAATGTATAGATCATGCCCCTGCAGTCTCACTTCCATTCATGTGTTAAATCACTTTCGTTTCTGTTCATGCTGCCGTAGTCACACCTCCTATGGCTGTGACTGACAGCCAGTATGGAAAAAATGGTTTAATTTTCAGGAGTGCCTATAGTGTCCCTTTAAAGACACAGCACAGTGGAGGTATACTGAGTACCGTTGAACTGGATGGGGAAAATAAAATATACCAAATTGCTTCCAGCAATATCCATAAAGTGTTTTTTTTTCCTCTGCTTTATCATACTGGTAAGCTCACATGTCAAAAGTATATTAAATAAGTATGAACAGCCTCATATTGAAACATTTTTATAAGTGGTGAATAGTTGGGAGAAACATTACTCTGAAGAAAAACAATGGTTATCGTCAAGCAATAACTATTCTTAAGCAGATGATTAGGCTCAATAAAATAAGAGTTTCCACCTTGGAATTTTCCTTGGAATTTTCCAACACTTAGTAAACCTTCCTGTATGCATTGTAATGTGATGTATTTATTCCTTGTGTGCCCATTGTTGTATTGCAGCTGTGACTCCTTTGGCTGGATGCCATTTTTTTTTATGTTTCTATTTAGCTGTGTTTTCTATTATTTGTGTCTCCAGGTATCGAGCCTCAGGGAAACATAGTTCTGAAGCCCGCCTTTTTCACTGTGGAAACCATCCTTGCTGGCCTGGGTGAAGTTCTAGTATTTGTTGAAGATCCTGAAGGACACACGGAAGAGGTGTGATATAAAATGTTATTCTGCAATATAGTAACACATCTTGTAGGGAGAGTTTTATACCAATAAAATGAAATTAAAGGACCACTCAGATCACTTCAGCTCAATGAAGTGGTCTGGGTGCCAGGTCCATCTAGGGTTAACCCTGCAGCTGTAAACATAGCAGTTTCAGAGAAACTACTATGTTTACACTAGGGGTTAATCCAGCCACTGACAGCCGCTAGAGGCTAGAGGCGCTTCCACGCTTCTCACTGTGAAAATCACAGTGAGAAGACGCTGACGTCCATAGGAAAGCATTGAGTAATGCTTTCCTATGGACTGATTTGAATGGGCATTCGCCGCTGACGTCGGAAGAGGGAGGAGAGTTCCCCAGTGCCGGGCTATGGAGAAAGATAAAAGTTTAGCTCCATCAGCCCCTTGAGCCCAGCAGGAGTTGAACCCTGAGGGTTGGGGGAACCTAAAGACCCCATAGTGCCAGGAAAACGAGTTTGTTTTCCTTGCACTATAGTGGTCCTTTAATAATAATACGGCTGATATTTAATTTGTATGTAATGTATGTGATTGCACAATCAACAATAGTCATTCTAGTATGAATTAACCAATATTATTGAAAAGCTTTTCATAAATATGTGATAAAATAAACTCTGTTGCTGGATTGTGTAACTTAAAATTCTGATAGAATGATAAAAAAACACACAACCTAGAAAAGTAAGATGACTGTGCATTACAAACAGGGAGAAAAATATTAGGCCAGATGAGTTAGGATGAGTGACTGGTGAAGAGGCGGTCGCTTTGGGTTAGCTGGAGGGGTTGAACTATGTATGAAGATGTTCATGAATAGAAGAATCATTTTGATGAGTATGAGAAAGGTTTTGAAAAAGGTTAAAATTAGAGATCAGTTTTCAAATAATTTATAGTAGACTAACAGAAGAAAATACTATCGAAATAAAGTGGTAGATGATGTATAGCAGGCATGTTACATCCGACAGACCACAATAAATCACTTTAAAGGCTCCAGTATGTCTGCTAATGGATATATCATGAATACCATAGTTATAGATAACAGTATAAAAATAAGAACAACTTTCTGGTTAAAATGTAGCATAACTGTTGCCCAAAAGGTAGTGCTGTAGTATTTATTATTTCCAGCTGTTTTCACTGTATTAGAAAGACTGTTATAAATGTAGGGACTATAAAATAGGCATTTGTAGTGGTTGTATAACTCTGTCTTCAGATTAATTTTCTTTTTGGTAGCTGACTGCAATCCCATATTTTAAATATCTTGAGTTGTAGCACTAAATCACATGATCATCATTTCTTTTGTAGGCCAAAGTTGTTCCCAATAATGATAAAGACAGAACTTACTCAGTCAGCTATATTCCAAAAGTGGCTGGACTCCACAAGGTAAGCAGCTATATTTATTTGCACTTGTACTGGCACACCATACGCAAGATCTAGAACCATATGGTTGACATTTTGTTCTTTAATAGAAGTCTAGCAATTCCCTCTACCCCACATCATATGCTACTCTATGAAAATATCAATCTGGTTTTTATATCTATCCTTGATATCCCTCAGTCTGACAGGTCTGTGTACTAACTATAATCCCTACTGGATCAGTTTTGTAGATCAGTGTTATTCAACAATACAATTCAAATGATGGACATCCACCCATAGACTGGCAATCATTTAATTTGTAGTTTTACAACAGCTGGAGAATTGTTGTTCACCCCTACATACTCAAGTTTCTTTTTTTTTGCTATTACTAATTTGTAAACTAACTATGTTCCCCTTTTGTCTCTGTCAGTATTATTGTGTATGTCCATTACGTGTAGTTAGATATCCTCATTCTGTAATAATGTGTAAAATCTTGGCTTTATATAAATGCTACTACTATTACTAATACTAATAATAATAAGTGTCACTGACCTAGTTTTCCTCGTGTAGGTCACAGTGCTTTTTGCTGGACAAAACATCAACAAAAGTCCTTTCAATGTCAATGTTGCCATGGCATTGGGTGATGCCAATAAAGTCACTGCAAGAGGACCTGGATTGGAACCTGTTGGGAATGTTGCCAACAAGCCAACTTACTTTGATATCTATACTGCAGGTAAATATCATACATCACTCTCTAAGACTAAATAAAATGATATCCATAGCTAGGTAACGCATAATCTTTCTTTCTTTTTTTTTTTTTTACCAGTTAGTCACCAGTAATTAGTTATGTAGGTTCAATGAAGTTTGCATAATTGTTTCAACAGGGGCTGGCTCTGGGGATGTTGGAGTGATCATTGTAGATCCCCAAAACCGTCAAGACATAGTGGAAGTGGTTTTAGAAGACAAAGGGGACAATATCTATCGCTGCACCTACAGGCCAAACATCGAGGGACCTCATAAGATCTACATTACCTTTGCTGGGTCACAGATCCCTAAATGTCCTTATGTTGTTAATATCTCAGAGGGTAAGGCATTTTTTTTCTTCTAGATTCACTTCTGTGATTTTCCATGCACACGTAGTACTGCTTTCATTGTGCTGCATTTATATTATGAACATCAGATTGCTGCTTCTGTCTTTATGTGATTATGACATCTTTCAGGGTTGATCTTGATGGACTTCAGTCTTTTCCCAGCCTAGACAGCTATGTAACTACGCACTCCATCATCCATTTATAAGCCCATTACATCTGTAACATTGTCTTCTCTTCACAAACATAGTGCTTAGGTTCATAGGGTAGTAGTCTAAAGTAATCCAATTTGTAGTGACGTCCATTCCTGTCAGCTAAAAATGTCAATTTAGACATAGCCATAATTTACCTAGAAATAAGCTGGCTTTCTCCATTTATCATAATCAGTGGTCTTAGCACAGTACAGCAAATAACAGATAAGGCATCCATATTATGCACCCTTTTCTTGTTCAAAATGTTTCTACATTCAATTTATATCTTCATAATGACCAACATTGACCCTTCACTTAGTGAAACGTTGTAAAATGACCACTGATGCAAACTATCTACATGTAGCAGTTGTTCTTAATTGCTATGCGTGGATAGGAACACATATGTGTGTGTTTTAAAACTGATGTATCTGGAAAAGAAAAGTAGGCATTTTAACAAGTAATGACTGATTTCATGCACAGTTTATCACTCTTCCGGTATGCCCACTCATTAATGAGTTGTTAGGGAGTATTTAAAAATGTGGCTATGTTGCCTGGTACTATGTATGTATGTTTGCATGTTTAGAAAGGGAGATGGCAGCGCTGAGTTGGAATGATTTAATCTTTTTGTATGGACACAGACACAGTGGTTTACAGGATATTGGATATGTGTAAATCTATTCCACTGTGCATTTAGTGTACGACATTTTGTATATGAATAAATACTTTTTAGATGTAAACAAGTCATTGTTTGTCATGCAGTGCCACTGTGTGCATACCCTTGTCTCCGCTTTTTTTTTTTTAACTTTCTCTGCCCATGTCTCTCTGCTTCCACTATAGCTGTTGTTTTGCCCCAGGCTCCCAGCACCCCACCCCTGCAGATCACCCCTCAGGCCATTGTTACCCCACCTCCTGACAAAGCCAAGAAAGTGGCCCCTCCACCTCCACCCAAACCCAAACCACGCAAGTCAAGTTAGTATAGCCTGAGCGTGGCCTACAAAAAAAAGAAGTGGGCACAGCCTGAGCATGGCTTGCCAAGAATGAGAAGGCACATCCTGAGCATGGCTTTTTTATTATAGAGAACACAGACAATTCTGAAAAAATAATAGGCACTGCCTCTATATGTGATCAAGCTCAGCTTTAGCATGGCCTGCTGTGTCTAGTAGGCATTGTCCGAGTTTGGCATTGAAGTGTAACCAACTCTGTATGCGTGGGCAATGTGTGAGCAGAATCTTCCTTGAACGAGAGTGAGTGGACTTTCAACTGCTCAAATGAACAGTGCCCTACTGAACGAGAGTTAGTGGACTTTCAACTGCTCAAATGAACAGTGCCCTACTGCAGATCTTTTTCAAATAAGATAACTCAGCTCCAACACATTTTGCTTTTATTTAGCTAGCATTTTCTCTGTAAGATCTAATTTTGTTAGGTAAATTTAGTGGTCTGAGCAGGCCCATTTTCTTACTAGAGTGTTGTCTGTATTCCCAGACATTTCATACATTACTCACTTTGTTTACATCTTCCTACCTTTGATTCCCTCTAATACAAAGTGGCTGAAATCATGGTCACTTTGTATTTACAAACGTGACAAGTGTTTCCCTTTGAACTTTGATACAGAAACCAAATAAAATGCTGTCTCTTGTATGTTGTGGTTTATTTTTTTTGTTTTGCATGTATTATCAAATTGATAATGCCAGCCTTTAGTAGCTATATTTATGTAGGGATATATAAGGCAAAATGAACGCAGGGTTCATTGTTTGATTTCACGCAGTGATTTCATTCTATAGTGAAATAATCTTTTCTCCAACTGTATGTTACAAAGAGAAATGTTTAAACAAAAGAAAGAAACCTGTGCACTGAGTAGTACTGTTATTTTTTCTTTTAGGTGGATATGCTGTACTGTATATTCTAGAGCTAAACTAATTTATATAAAATTACAGTTAGTAGCATGACTGTAGTAATATTTTAAAGTGTCTATTTTTGCACTTGCATGAGGCATTGGTGTTATTGATATTAAAAACAGTGCAAATGTCTGATATTCTTCATAGAAGAGTACACTTTGCACGTGTGCTTTTTTTATGGTTGCCAGCCTTACTGCCTGTCGTAGGATCTGGGTTTAGTATTGTGACTAGAGGAATGATATTCTGTAACCAATAATTGTGAAAACTGGGTGATATATGTTTGTTACATCAGCAGTATGGCTGATTAGCCTCCTGCTTGCTCAGTGAATGGGCCTAACAGTAAACCTTCTGTTTCTATTGCAGCATGTAACCCTAGTGCATGTAGAGCATCTGGACGTGGACTGCAGCCGAAAGGAGTGCGTGTGAAGGAAGTGGCAGACTTTAAAGTGTTCACCAAGGGAGCAGGAAGTGGAGAGCTTAAAGTGACCATCAAAGGGCCAAGTAAGTAAAAAGGGGGAAGCTGGGAAAGTAGGTTACTACAGAACTTACATATAGATAAAAATAAAGCTAACAGTATAAAAAAAATGGCATGACAGACCAATAATGATTGAATGAAGCAAGAAATGATGAGATTGACATTGACTTATTTCTCTCATGGCTTTCTAGAAGGCACAGAGGAGCCAGTGAAAATCCGTGATGCGGGAGATGGTGTGTACGAATGTGACTATTTTCCAGTAATTCCAGGAAAATATGTAGTAACCATCACATGGGGTGGATATGCCATTCCTAGAAGGTGAGCATGAAACATACACAAATAATGACTACATAGCTAAACTAATGAATCCTATTTTCATCTTTATGTTTAATAGCTGAGTTGTGATTTGTTTCAGCCTACCTGATTCATCTCATAATTATCAGCCTTTCTTTATTATTGTATTTATAACACTTATGTTTGATGAATTTGCTATTTTTCTACATCTCTGCTAAGTAACAGGAAAACACTTTAATCTTTATGATAATTACCTTTTTAATTATTCTAACTTTTAAATAAAAAAATACACACATAAATAATTTTGTACTTTGCTTTGGAATGTACAGTCCTTTCGAGGTCATCATCAGCCCAGAAGTTGGAGTACAGAAGGTGAGAGCTTGGGGTCCAGGTCTGGAGACTGGCATGGTGGGCAAGTCAGCTGATTTTGTTGTGGAGGCTATTGGTACAGAAGTAGGGACTCTTGGTAAGTGATAAAAAAAAAATCAAATTATTGCCTTGTGTGTAGCTGTGCATGGAAAACTCTGCCACCATAATTCTCAAGTCTAGACCTCCAGTTCTGACTCACACTGCACATTTTCACTCCCTAGGCTTTTCAATTGAAGGACCCTCCCAAGCGAAGATTGAGTGCGATGATAAAGGAGATGGGTCATGTGATGTACGATACTGGCCCACTGAACCTGGGGAGTATGCAGTCCATGTCATCTGTGATGATGAGGATATTAAGGACAGTCCATTCATTGCACACATCCTACCAGCTAGCAACAAAGGTTTCCCTGAGAAGGTACTAAAACAGTCTACAAGCTGTGTTGAAATTCATGTGGATTTGAAACATGTAAATGAAGAGAGTCATGTTTAGGATGGATGGATCTAAACAGACAGATATACATTATTTGTTGCTTATTTTAACAGAAAAATATCTATTAATAAGTGGATGTTTTGCAAGTCTGTTAACTTTCCCTCCCCGCACTCTGATTCCTCTCCTGCAACTGTCATCAAAGCAAAACACTAAGCCCTCAATGAATACTATCCTAGCCACCTCATTTTCTACCTTTACCTTTTGTGTCACTATACCCCATTCCCTTTAGCATGTAAGCTCATTGAGCAGGTCCCTCAATCAACTTGTCTGATTACAAATATTTGTCTGTTAGTCCACCTATTGTACAGCGCTACGGAATTTGTTGGCACTTTCTAAATAATAATAATAATTTTAGTTTTATACTGTTTGCATATCTCAACATAGCAAGGTTCTTAATACATACTTACTTGGCAATTCAACATTGCTGATATAGATAATAATTTTCTGATAGTAAATAATACCAATATTTACCCTATATCTCATCTGTCTTTTTTAACCAGTTCTTCTATCCTCTAATAATCAGTTTGTAGTACACTCCTATTTTACTCTCTCATTTTAACTATCTTCTCCTCCTATGTACTTCCCCTCCCTTCCTAGCTATCACTGTCTGTCCATCTTCCACCAGCTGTTCTTTTACGCATTGATGGATTATGTTCGGCTGGTGGTGGGGGTGAAAAATATTGAGGAGGACGCATTTGTCTGACTGGAGTTCTGACATTTAGAGACTCTTCTTCTAATCCCTCGCTACTTTCCAAACATAATTTATATGACTAGGAAACTATTACAAACATCAAAGGCACAGAGAACATCTCTGGCGCATGGACTCAGTAATGGTTGGGGGTAGACATCTCAAGAGAGTGGGAGAGGGAGAGAGAGATCATCATGGGCTGATGTCCAACATGAAGGCCTCTTTTTTGGCAAGGAATAAGTTGAGGGCGAATGTAAGATAGTAGGAATAGGGTAGATTAAACATGAAGTGAGAAGATACTAAGAATAATTTTTAAAAGATGAGAATTTGAGAAGAATAAATAAAAAATAAAATAACATGCAAATAATTGGGTGGGAGCTAAAATATTGCTATTGCTTGTATACCATGCATAATGAAAAGGCAGCAAAACAATACAGAAAATTAGGCTAAAGAAGAAAAACAGCAAAATAATCAGGGAACTCGTATGTTTTCACATGATTCCGAATATAACGAGTGTATGTGAAGTACATTATTTTTCCAAGTACACACCCCACTGCAAGGATTCATGGAAATGTCAGCTTATGCATCTATTTTGTACAGGTTAAAGCATTTGGTCCTGGCTTGGAACCCACAGGATGCATAGTAGAGCACCCTGCTGAATTCACCATTGATGCACGTGCTGCTGGTACTGCTGAGCTTAAGATCTATGCCCAGGTAATTCTAATTCAACAAGGCTAACAGTTTGAAATTCACTTTGAATTCACTCCGAATTTCAAAAATAATCCAGTAAGTGTGAATAAAAAGAACTCTCATTTATGTGCGCCACTTTTGCTAGGATGCCGAGGGATCGCCCATTGACATCAAGATAAAGGATAATGGAGACAACACATACGTTTGCGTTTATGTACCAACCAAAGCAATCAAACATACCATTATCATCACGTGGGGAGGGGTCAATATTCCAAACAGCCCATTTCGGGTGAGTAGGAGTGACACTGGAGTTTCTAGTAATCTCTCTACATTTCTACCTTTTCTTGGAACAAATTTTAACAAATGTTTGTGTTGATAACCTTTACTTTCTTAACTCCAGGTATTGGTGGGTGAAGGGAGTCATCCCAATAAAGTTAAAGTTTATGGTCCTGGGGTTGAGAAGACAGGGCTGAAAGCTAATGAGCCTACCTACTTCACTGTGGACTGCAGCGAGGCTGGACAAGGTGAGATCTGAATACATAGATATGGTCAGCTGCTGATGGCAATGCTGCTGATACAAGATTTAATAAACATTGGTTGTCTTTATCTGCAGGTGATGTCAGCATTGGGATTAAGTGTGCTCCTGGGGTGGTGGGACCAGCAGAGGCAGATATTGACTTTGACATCATTAAGAATGACAATGACACTTTCACTGTGAAATACACGCCTCCTGGAGCTGGGAAATACACCATCATGGTGCTGTTTGCTGACCAGGTATGACACAATTACTAACAGCAGACTAGACATATAGTAGCTATACATAATTAAGTACCAGAACCTCGATGTGATGCAGACATATGAATGTGTGTGTATCTAAATGAACAATGATTCCATAATTATATATATTTCTCACTCTCTGTTAGTAATCACTGATCATTTTTATTTTCATTTTAAAGGAGATACCTATCAGCCCCTTCCGTGTCAAGGTAGACCCATCACATGACGCCAATAAAGTCCGTGCAGAGGGTCCAGGACTTAATCGCACAGGTAAAATTATGAGACATGTCAGTTTGGAATACAATGTATAACTTCACGTAAATTAGAACAGAGTAGTCCTATATATAATTATTAGGAAGAGCAGATTGTTATAACTGATAATGGGAAAATTAGCTATAAATATATTTGGGACATATATGATAGCCTTTGTACACATTGGCTTAACCCCCTTAAGGACACATGACATGTGTGACATGTCATGATTCCCTTTTATTCCAGAAGTTTGGTCCTTAAGGGGTTAAATGTAAATCAAAAATAATAACTGACAAATTAATGATAAATATTCACTTAGGAATACATTGTGGTTATTTGATCATTGATTAACTTTTTCTAAACAGTTTAGACCTACATTTTATAGCTGTTAAAAGATTTCCATTTGAACTCTGATGAACAGACCACTCAGAAATGTTGCTGAATTTAAATGGTTCAGAATGTAGGTAATCAAAAATAAATTAAAAATAATATTTAGGAGTGGGGAATAAGGTGTTGTGTTTTTTTTGTTTTGTTTTCCCCATAAGTTACAATTACATTTAATAGGAATTACTTCAATCTCTGACAATTGAGCAGCTCGTTATAAAGCCATAAGAAGGCATTAAGGTACTGCAGCCATTTGACACTCTTTTACCTGATATAGGGGTGGAAGTTGGAAAACCCACGCACTTTACCGTGTACACGAAGGGTGCTGGGAAAGCGAAGCTGGATGTTCAGTTCACAGGAACCTTAAAAGGTGAAGTCGTTCAAGACTTTGAAATCATTGACAACCATGACTATTCATACACTGTGAAGTATACAGCTGTGCAGCAGGTATTTAAACCATTTTTGCTATAAGATACTCTATAAGGGTTATGTGCAGTTGTTAGATTCGGAGGTATCTCTTAATGGCACTAAACAAAACAAAGATTGGATTGGAGCGTTGGCATGTCTTTGTTACAAGTTGTATGATCTTACGAAATGTGTCTCAAACGAACAAAGACATTTTATGTTATGCATCACTTAAAATAATTACATATTCCAAGTACTTGGAGTGCAATTCAGTTTTTAGGTAGTCACAGGAATCATGCAGGCATCCTTGGGGAAAATGTGAACCTTGAAATGCCAGATAATGCAGCTTTACATGAAAATGTATTTTTTCTTTATATATAGAATTAAGGAACCATGCAGTTTGGCTGCTGTTTGAATAATAAAAATCAAAACCATCATGCACTCTTATCAATGTGCTCAGAAAGCAAGAGAAAAAAAAGATTTCAACATTGATATATAAAACAATAATAAAATAAATGATTCCTCATTATGTTTGCTTGCATATGGTGCTTATTGAAAGCATATTTCAGTTTCAGTAAGAGTAATATAAGCCGTATGTAGATAGTGGAAGTGCACTCAACCCTTCGTGCTGGAATCCTGGGTGCTATACTGGAAAGGTGCCAGTACCAGAAAGGACCAAATATAGAATTTGGATATCGAAAAAATCCAGGCACTCCAACGAATTCCAAAGAAAGGCAGTTTTATTGGAACCAAGAACCAGCAAGCAACGTTTCGACCCCTTAGGGCCTTTGAAACGTTGCTTGCTGGTTCTTGGGTCCAATAAAACTGCCTTTTTTTGTAATTCGTTGGAGTGCCTGTCTTTTTTCGATATCCTAAGAGCAATATAAGGACTGATATCCTAATGAGTATTCATGAAAAAACTTCATTTTACCATGGAGTAGTCATTGCTAATATGACACCCCTGACCTAAACTGTGTAGCTGTAGTTTGACTAATGGACTTTGTTATCAATGTAACTGTTTTTACATTGATAACAAAAGGAAAGAAGCATGGGAATTGTTTTTTCCGATAGCCTATGTAAACAATATAGAGGAACTACTTAGTCAAGGTGCCAACTTGAATAAGAAGATATATATATATATATATACATACACACAAACACAAATATATAAAATACATATAGATTTATATAGGCCGTGCTATTTTAGCATGTATAGTTCTATAGAATAAGAAACAAAGTAGACACATTATAAGAAAAGAAGACACCATTTTCAAAGATATCATACTCTAAAATGTGAATATAGCTTGATGGATTCAAATTAAATGACATTACTTGCTACAGCATGGAGTTCTGTGAACAGGATTTCTAGCATTCCATCAGGGTAGGCATCTTCAGTTTGACAGTTCCTGCAAAACTTCATAGTGAGTTGCGTCTGTTGCTTTAGGTATGATATCAACAAATTTTAGCAGAAAAACCTAAAATATATATTTTAATAATAATGTTAGACTGCTTGAATATTTGTTTGTTTTTATTCGTATCAGCTAAAAATCTAACATAATGAGTTAATAAAAAAAATCTGTAAATTTAAATTATGTGGGTAGATGATGTAACCAGTGGTAGAATTATTTAATGTTTTTAAAATATAGTCGCAATAAATCATTATAGAAAGCTTCAGTCTGTAATAGCTTTCTAACACATTTCTGCATTGTAAATGCATGGTTTCCATATAATAACAATTTTACTTTTCTTCCATCTGCTGTTTCAGGGTAATATAACTGTATCAGTGACGTATGGTGGGGATCCGATTCCTAAGAGTCCCTTTATTGTCAACGTGGCTCCACCACTTGACCTGGGCAAAGTCAAAGTTCAAGGACTCAATAATAGTAAGTAATATGTTTGCATGTGCCCTGTTTATTTTCATATAATGTAGAACTGTGGTTATATAATCTCTGTTTGTTTTAGTGTATGAAGAAAGCAGGCCCAACATGTGCTTTTATACATGTGTGTGTTTATACATGTGTGTGTAAACCAGACCTACATGTTGGTTATTTCTATTCCTCTCTCACAGAGGTGGATGTTGGGAAGGACCAGGAGTTCTCCATTAACACTAGTGGGGCAGGTGGTCAAGGGAAGGTAGATGTGAAGATCACATCTCCCTCTCGCCGTCCAATCCCCTGCAAAGTGGAAACTGGAGTCACCAGCGAGATTCACACTGTAAAGTATATGCCTCCTGAGGAAGGACCATACAAGGTGGAAATCAGCTACGATGGACATCCTATCCAAGGAAGTCCCTTCTCTGTGGAAGCAGTAATGCCCCCTGACCCTTCCAAGGTACTAATTGCAAGGGATCCTGGGAAACGTTTTAGCTTATCTGATATGTCAGTACGATGGTGATCAATGTCAGCACATATTACTGCACATTTTAATTTTTCATGGAGATCATTGCAAATTTGCTATATTGAATTTTTAAAGTAGAGTTGGAGGAGCTACTTTTTAAAAAAGCATATCAGGTACATAGACATGGTACATCACAGTAGAATGCCAAGACATTTGTCTCTGATTAATGTGTAGAATGTCTAGCTCCTGATATGATACAGTTGCATGGAATGCAAAGGCAACTGTGGCAAACGCACCAGTACACAGAAGATGGTGTACTTTTATATCATCGCTTTATATCATCGCTCCACTTTGCATCTCAGCAGAACTGATATTTATACAGGAATGCTAATACTGTATATACAATAATGTATGGTAGTAACAGGTTTTTATCCATTACTCTGTGTTTGCCACACCATTAGTAACATGTTAGACATTGTTCAAAAATCTTTTCACGATTACAACATGCTAGCACCATTATCACACTCTGTAGCTCCTGTGCTCCTCATATGTTAATATCAGTATTTTTTCGCTCGCTACCTTGTATATGTATTTTTTTTTTTTTTTTTATATCCCAGTTATATTTCTTTCCAGCTCTACCTTTGCATCTTGTTCATGTTTTGTCTCTTCGATTCTCTGCTGTTCTATGTCCTGGCACACTCTGCGTTTCCTGCCATGTGTTTTTCATTTCTGTGTGTGTAGGATGCAAAGTGAGTGTCAGGGTAGAGCAGCCAGAGGAGAGGGGGGATAGATATCTGCGTTTAAATAAAACCGTAGCTTAGCTCTGAAAATTGACCCCAAGGGGAACATAAGATTCAAAAGAAGTGAAACGACCTCCCACCCCCTCCTCCAAAGAAATCTCACACATCTCTGAAGCCCTCCTGCACCAGAGATCATAGGTCAACAGCTCCCTCTGTCCCATAGAGTTTAACACACATGCATCTTATATTCTTTTCTTTGCTGTTTCATTCCGGTAACCCATTCGCTGCCAAAGATAATTTTGAACTGGGAACAATAGCGGCAATGAGCGGCATACTTTCGAAATGAACAGAAAACCAGCATAAAATATAAATCACAACATGCAATACTTTTTTCATAGCTGGTAATACTTCTAAAGGACTTATAGTAATACAACAATAAAAGTAGTTCTCTGAATTATTGAGCGAATGATCTTAAATAGAACATGTGTTTAAACATCTTTCTCTGACCTCAGACAAATTTAGAAACCCTGTGCTGAACTTAAATTATAGATATAAATGATCATTATAATTGCTAATACAAAGCCAGAAATTTCTAGATAACAATTTGTTTCTGCTTGCTGCCTCGTTGTCTATCACAGAATGTATCCCTTTTTTTCCAATATTCTTTATTTGAAAGTTCACATATAGTAAAAATTATACTGCTTACAGATATGGAACAATGAAAGTGTTAAAGTACATAAGAATCAAAAGACATATTCGATGCGTATTTTTCAAAATGGTCAAGAACATTGTCATAGGCTACATAGAGTCTCAGCAAAATATACTCTCATAGCCAAAGCATAGCCAAAGAGTAGTCTTCGCCACCTATACAGTGGTCATGTTCTAAAAGTATAGCACAGAGACTTAGAATGTATCCCTCTAAGGACCATAGTATGAGCCTCACTGCCAAACAAGGCAGTGTAGAGAATTGCATGATGTTGAACGAAGTTACAATGATTAAAATTAGCTTAGAAACTGAAAGGAGAAATAAAGATGTATGTTATACAGAATAACAGGATGGCATATAGGATTACAAAGTATGAAAATACAGGACAAATGCAGAGGATTCAAAGGTAACATGAAGACATGTTGGAGACAGAAAGAAAAATTAAAGCAAGGGAACCATTATTATCATAAACTGCCTTTAGAGTAAAGCTAACTGTTTATTTAGACATTGCCACGGGAAATAGAAACCCTGACAATGTGAGGAACAGCATGATAATATTTATTTTAGAGGATAATATGAGGAAATGAGATGCAATGAAAGTGAGAGCTGTCTTGTGTTTGTAAATCATCTCCCACAAAAGCAAACTTAAATGATTTCAAACTGTTGCCTTGCTGATATGTGTAACTACAAATCAAATACTAAACAAATAAACACATCATTCCAAACTTAAAACTCTTACATAAATTCAAGAACCCACCCATATTGGGCTGTCAGCCATGCATACATAACACAAGCTTTTCTCCAAGAAAAATATATTTGTGTCAAACCACAATTCAGCTAGAGTGGTTGTAATGAAATGTATTTAATTTGTTTGAATTTTTGGCAAACAAAACTATTCATTAAATTATTTTTGTATGACTTTGGATCTCAAATTGTAAACTATATATGAAGTCATGTGGAACATGATCTGCTACAAGTCACATAGAGTCTATGTTCTTATGGAGTAAATGCATTTTACACGTTCTAGATTGAGAACTTACAGGAGCTTCCTAAGGAGCAAAGAAAGCAATTAACTAAAATCCTGACCTCACCGAGTTAATTACAGATGTCATTTTATGTTACACTTTAGCAAATACATGTTATATAATATTCTATGTCCTGAGACATATAACTGACACCGTTTTATAGAGCATAAGGATTAAAACTAAATTGAATTAATTATTTTATATAATTCATTGTTTTATTATTTTTTTTATCCCATTGCCATGAAATGATAACGGTCATTTGGAGCTGTGCACTTCTAAATGACTTGTTGTAATAATATTATAAATAATATGGCATTAGACATTAACATGTTTCAATTTTGTTTTTCACCTATTTTTCCTAGGTTCGTGCATATGGCCCAGGATTAAAAGGCGGTTTTGTGGGTAAACCAGCTCCGTTTGCCATTGATACTAAGGGAGCTGGTACTGGTGGACTGGGCTTAACAGTAGAGGGACCTTGTGAAGCCAAGATTGAGTGCCAAGATAATGGTGATGGCTCCTGCTCAGTGTCCTACCTCCCAACGGAACCTGGAGAGTACTCCATCAATATCCTGTTTGCAGAATCCCACATTCCTGGTTCTCCATTTAAAGCGGACATCCGCCCTGTATTTGACCCAAGCAAAGTTACAGCCAGTGGGCCAGGTCTGGAAAGAGGAAAAGCTGGGGAAGTAGCCACATTCACTGTGGACTGCTCAAAAGCTGGTGATGCTGAGCTTACCATAGAGATCCTGTCAGACTCAGGTTCCAAGGCTGAAGTTCTGATCCAGAATAATAGTGATGGGACCTACAGCATCACCTACATCCCTTCCTGCCCTGGAGCCTATACCATCACTATCAAATATGGTGGACATGCAGTACCAAAATTTCCTGTTCGTGTCAATGTGGAGCCAGCTGTGGACACCAGTGGTGTAAAAGTATTTGGTCCAGGGGTGGAACCAAGAGGTAATGGACAAATAAATGTATACTATATATCCAGTAGATTAACTGCATTTACAACATATTAAATTGGTAATGATGTCTGTCACAAAACATATTTTAAGGGGGAAAAAAACAACAAGTTATTTCCATAAAAGCTGACACAGAAATATGATGGGCCAGAAGTAATTTAAAGGAATACTTAATTAGTATGTCCTAGAGGAGGGGCAATTTTTCATGTTATAAAAATAAAAAATGTAAACTAGTGGCTTGATAATGACTAATTATAAGTATGGTTTAGAAGAAACATGTTTCTGTTATGATTATATCTGCAGTTTCTTGTCCTCCCTTTATTGATGGCTAGAGATGCTGCAGAGAGGCAGAGCAATATTGTGTAAAAACACACAATTTTCAAGGTGTAAGCCCCTCAGACTTGCTTAGACTTAACTCATTGGCTTTGCAGTGGGGCATCAGATCCTAGACAAGATAGGCCTTCATATTGTCCTATCTTCTAAGCTGTAATTGGGTAACAGAATCAGGGGGGTGGAATCAAACCCCTTCAAGGTGGCTGTTTCCTAAATACATGTATCTGTAGGTTTATGGTGTTGTATGAGTTTTTCTCTTACTTTGTCAGTGGTTGAGTACAAACGGTTAAATGAGTAAAATCCAACAGGTCAAGGGCAGAGTCTAACACCCCACCATCTTTAAAATTCCCTAGCTGCTACTGCTGCTGATTTTTATTTATAAATTTTTTTGCTAGTACAATTTTGGACTTCTGTTGCAAATTTGATGGTTCATAGTAGACAGAACATTAATCTGTTTACTTTTTTTCCCAGGTGTTCTCCGCGAGGTCACAACAGAATTCACAGTTGATGCTCGTTCTCTGACGAAGACAGGTGGAAGTCACGTGACCACACGTGTGCTCAGTCCATCAGGGGCTGTAACTGAAAGTTTAATTTCAGACAAAGGAGATGGGACATACCTTGTACATTATACAGCATATGAGGATGGTAAGAAAACCATGACTATCCACAATGGCAGTAGATGGTGGACAATAAATAATTTGTATAATATTAAGCTTTATAAACATGTGGCTAAATTTAAGGTGCTAATAATTCTATATATGTTTAATCTCTTAGCCAACAATATATAGAAGTCAAACAAGAAGTGGAAAAACCAATATAACCATAATAACTTTCTCCTTACATATTCTAAGTATAGCATTTTGTTAGCAGCTAGTGCAGAGTGTGCCTTTGAATTACTGTAATGCTATTTTGAGTTGTACAATATTAGTAATGGGTAGTCATTTTCTGATCTGTGATACCATCCTGTAGGTGTGCATTTGGTGGAAGTTCTGTATGATGATGTTCCAGTCCCCAAGAGCCCATTCCGAGTTCCTGTCACCGAGGGTTGTGACCCATCCCGTGTGCGAGCATATGGTCCAGGTCTAGAAGGTGGGCTCCTTAATAAGTCCAATCGCTTCACTGTGGAGACCAGGTAAGAAACAGAATTTTTATTTGAAAAGCCATATTAACTATATTTTACATGTTATGACGCTTATGTTGTCCTTTGTTTGTTCCAGGGGAGCTGGCACTGGAGGTCTTGGTTTGGCCATAGAAGGTCCCTCTGAGGCTAAGATGTCCTGCAAGGACAACAAAGATGGCAGCTGTAGTGTGGAGTATATACCATTCACTCCTGGGGATTATGATGTCAATATCACCTTTGGTGGACGTCCCATACCAGGTATGGTTTCAAATTTAGCACTGTGAATCCTTCCCCGTTGTAGTAAATACAGCATCAATACAAACTTTTCTCACATTCATTGTACCATGTTTGATTTCATACAAACATTGATAGTGCCCAGCTCATCACACATTATTAACCTGCCATATAAACACAGCATGGATGTACAGATTCACCAAAAGCCTATCACTAATATGTGCAAAAGAACAGTGACACCCATTGTGTCTTTCTCACAAATGGAAAAACCCAATGATGCCAGCCTGCCATACAGATGCTCATACAAAAAAAAATGAAGTATTTATTTCCACATAAACCACTGCAAATCAAACCCAGCTTTAATATTTCATAAAGAGACTACAGTGAGAGTGATCTAACTCTGTTTTTATTCTACAGGAAGCCCATTTCGTGTGCCAGTAAAGGAAGTTGTGGATCCAAGCAAAGTGAAGTGCTCAGGACCAGGTCTTGGTGCTGGAGTGAGAGCCCATGTGCCCCAGACTTTCACAGTAGACTGCAGCAAAGCTGGACTGGCACCACTTGAGGTTCTGGTGCAGGGACCATCAGGTACCCTTGAAGGGGGGAGGTGGAAACTACAAGACATTCAATATAGCGCAGTGAATAATATTGTACACAAAACCAGTTAACCTAGAATATAAATATAAAATAGGATTGTTTAGCACAAAGCCTTTTTTTAATTTAAAGTTTTTGTTTCTAAAACATATTGTATCGTATAGAAGGACACTTATAAGCATTTTCTTAAACGCACCTGAGTATGTAGGATTTATTCACAATCAGGGAATATTTATTTGTATTTCTGTGCCAGGTTTGGCAGAGCCAGTAGATGTTCGTGATAATGGGGATGGAACTCACACTGTGAACTACACCCCAGCCATGGATGGACCATACACAGTGTCTGTTAGATATGCTGACCAGGAGGTACCACGCAGGTGAGATTCAGGATCGCTTATACTGTATTCCTAGTCAGGATTTTGTGGCTCAATCTGAAAGTTGAAGGAGAGGCCATAGAATTTAAACTGAACCCAATCTTATTCTTCCCAAACACAGCCCATTCAAGATCAAGGTGCTGCCTACCCATGATGCCAGCAAAGTTAGAGCCAGTGGCCCAGGATTAAACACAGCTGGTATACCTGCTAGCCTTCCTGTGGAGTTTACCATTGATGCCCGTGATGCCGGAGAGGGGCTGCTGACTGTTCAGATTCTGGTAAATATATCAAATAAATTACTTCTCATTAAATATATTGATATACAATATGTACATTAGCCACTTCCTCTTGCAATGACTCTATATATTTCTCTGTATGATTCCTAAAAACACCTTATATTTTATAGATTCATACACTACCGCCCTATAAATAGTACTGGTTTTTGGGCTACATGGAACTAAAATTTTAATGGACCTAATGAGAGAAGCTGATTTCACATTTCATTGTCATAGAGATTATGGTCTAAATGTCTGACATGTAGAAGTCCTACCTCGGAATTCCTCCCTCCCCCTTTGTGATCACAATGTCAGATCAGCGTTGAGGTTTTGCACACAATATGAAACCCAGCCACTGTGCACATTAATAAATAAAAGAGACAGTGTGATAATATTGGAACTACATTGTAGTGACAACACCTTGTTTCATAATAAATGCAGGTAAAAATCATATTGTGGCTGTTTGGCCAGTGGAGATACATCCATAAGTGGAGGTGCATCAACCTACCATTTTTTTTTACATCCTCAGTTATTATCTACTCTTTTCCTTTCGCCTATATAGTTTTACAATTGAACCAACTTTAAGAATGCAGTTTTTTTGGCATATTTCATAAGATTTTCATTTACCAAATAAATAAACTTATGATAATGAACAGGGCATGATGACTCATAGGCTCAGGGTGTTCAGTAAATGGAGTTACGCGTGGGCTGCCTGTGAAGTGTATTACCTCACAATTATAAACTTCACTACCCTGCAAAGGCAATGGGCCTGGAGCTGCTGCTCCAACGGCCCCTATCTTAAACCTGTTCTGCCTACAATTCCTTCAGTTATTTCATATATCTTATTATAGATAAAGATGCCTTATGATAAAAACACATCACACATTCAGCATATCAGACAGAATGAAGAGTTAATGGAATCACTACTTATTTAACGACTCTATTTTGATCATTTGGTGTATTTATAAAATTGAATGACCCCTAACATGCTCCTTAAGCAGCTGTGCAATTTAGACATCCTATTGGAATGAGCTCATTCATATTTAGGTCTTGTTCATCGGTTTAGAGATAAATAGCCCCATATAGTGGGTGTAAAGTGAATTGCATCTCTTAGTGTAACAATGTAAAATGAGAAATTTCAACCACTTGCTAATGCATGACTGAGTTGTGGGAGTGGTTGGAGACATGACTTAAAATTAACGTCATAATTTCTGAGGAGAACATTTGCAAAGTTTTAGGAAGGTGCTTTAGATGAAGAATTAAGAAAATCAATCTATTTATTTTTTATCCTTATTCTTCTTTATAGGATCCAGAGGGAAAACCCAAAAAAGCCAACATTCGAGGAAATGGAGATGGTACTTACACAGTATCATATGTGCCAGATATGGCAGGAAGATACACCATCACCATTAAATATGGTGGAGATGAGATTCCTTACTCTCCATTCCGTATCCATGCAGTGCCTACCGGAGATGCCAGCAAGTGCTTAGTGACTGGTGAGTGTTGAAGTATAGATTTTTAACCTTATCTGACAAACATGTTGCTGACACAGGGAAGTCTAAAAATGGATGAGATATTGGTAGGTTGGGGTGCCAGTTACTTGAAAATGGTGAAGGATGGATGGCAGAGAGCATACAATTTAATAGCATCACCAATTTTAACATCAAAATGGTTGCTGTTTCAACTTAAGTGACTTCTTCCTAAATGCATACATAATGTAAAAAATCCATTTTTATCTGTTTTCCCTGCAGTGTCCATCGGAGGACATGGTTTAGGTAAGTTGATAAATAGCTATATTATATTTAAAGATGGTGTCTGTATTCAAAGTGATTATATAGTTGGTAGGTTTCTGGTTTATAGACTTTATATACTTCTGTACACTTATTGCGTTCTGATTACATAAAGTACTATGAGAAGCAACATTAATGATTATAAGAATTGGACTGAATTACCACCCATAGGATTCTTGTATAAGATTCAGTGGATCAGAAGTTATACTCCAGAAATGTGAATTGTAGTATTTCTGACTGGGTAATTCCATCTGGATAGAACCAGCTGCCCGGAGTTTTTCTATAACCCTATCCTTGGCCACATAGCACAACCATTATTTAAAAATGTAGATACATGTAGATACATTTTGGGGTTTCTCATGATAATTTAGAAATTATTTCAAGTGAACAATCAATATCAATTGCACGGTTGCAGCTGACTATGTAGAGTTAAATTTATTTAGAAATTATATAATTTAGATTTTATATTACTTGGTTAGTACTATGTACATAACAGAGGAATGAATAACAACTAGCCTAGTAATTAATATTAAGCATTCAGTTCCATGTGGTAATGTATCAAATAACTATGTGTGTGGGTCATGCAGGAGCCTGTCTTGGGCCTACTATCCAGATTGGAGAGGAGACTGTCATCACAGTGGATGCCAAGGCTGCAGGAAAGGGAAAGGTGACCTGCAAGGTGTCAACTCCAGATGGAGCAGAACTAGATGTAGATGTGGTTGAAAACCAAGATGGCACTTTTGACATATACTATACCGCACCTGAGCCAGGGAAATATGTCATCACTATCCGCTTTGGTGGAGAGCACATCCCCAATAGTCCTTTCCATGTCGTGGTAAGTTTACTAGACATGGTGAGAGATTCTCTCCATTTAACACTCCGCATGTAACGTGTGCCTTCCCTCCCTTTCATTAGGCATGTGATACTATTCCCATCATAGAGGAACCGTGTGACACTGTACAGCTACACCAGCCTTACCCTGCACATCTCCCCGGCTATCCAACTCACTGGGTATAACAGAGAAAATTCTCTGCTCCTGTACCACTTAAATTCCTATCATAATCATTCTCCACTCAGCATCCCTTCTTATAAACATCCATTCTGTATTTCTATCCATCATCCATAGTTCTATAATCTAGTGCATCGTAACTTTCTTATTTTTGTATGACATAAATGAATTAATGCCACAGGCATGGGAAAGGGAACACTGCCATTCATTAGTCTACAGTATAAGGGTTCTTCTCTATAATTAATACCCTGTTTAAACATTCTTTCCACACAGAGCCTAATTTCCTTAACACAATTTTGCTGAATTTAATATTTGTATAAAAAAAGTGGCTATTCACACATCACCTGCTGCCATGTATAATATTGTGTAATCAGGTGGGATTGTCAGAAAAAAGCAAATGCATGCCCTTAAATCTAAAGCATTGTAATCTCACCAATAATATTGAAGGTTTAATATTTTGATTGTGTTCTATGTTAGGAAGCACATTTAAATCACTTAATATAGATTTCCCTAATTTTTTTGTTAATAAGTAGGATGATTATTTCTCCATAATGACCACATACACATGCACGCACAAACACACAAACATTCAAAACAATATAGTACTCTTTGGACTTCTTGTGAAACTAAAACAACTTTTTTCTTGTCCTAGAAGTGCTGTCCTTTTTCATAGTTTGTACATTCCAAAGGAGTTTTCACTCCACAAGTGCTTTATCCTGAGATTTACTTTCATTTTCTGCTCTTGATTCTGTGCTTTTTTTTCCCCATCAAAAATATTTATTTTGATAACTGTGTTGTTACCTAGTTTATGGATTCCCCTTTTATAATTATGGTTTAGTATTAATTGTTTCTCACCTATTACTGCTTTTAGAAAGCTGTTTTTCCTGAAATGAAACTGCTGTCTATTTACTGCTATTTTCTTTCTTGCTATTTTATGTTTCCCTTGTCTTCTTGTTACACAGAGCATGGCTTATTTTTACTTGCGACATTATATTGGGTTATGTTAACTTTAACTTTCTTTCCTAATGCATGTGTTTCTACTCTGCCAGCCCTGAGAACACATTATAATTATCATGTCACTTTTCCCTTTTCGTATAAAGATGTATTTCACTTATATTCCTCCTCTGCCCCCTGTAGGCCACTGAAGAGCCTGTTGTTCCTGTGGATAATTTGGATACTATGCTGAGACCTTTTAATCTAGTTATTCCTTTCACTGTGCAAAAAGGAGAGATCACAGGTACACTACAGCAAGTCCCAAGTTACTAATCAACCCCTATCTATAAACAGTGTATTTTAACATATCACAAGGGAATGCCAACCCTGAAGTCTTTATTATATTAAGCATATAAATTGTGAAAGACTAATGGTGCATAACCGTGTAACCACTTCCAATATCAATGGCACATTTGTAGCTGTAAAATAAGTAATTCTTGGGCAAGCAGAAATTGAATGCAAAACTTTTACAATGGTTTACGTTATGATTGTGACACTTGATTAAGACTCCTAAGGAACCCGACAAAGCATGTAACAGTCTGTGCAGAGATACTTATAGCATTAGGACAACCATCTTCAAAGCCACTTTAAGTTATAAGTGATGGTAAAAAGAAAATAGTCATTGTATTGTAAAAAAAAAAAAAAACCCACTTGGTTTTACTGTTCGATTTGAGTGAAATATCTCATATATGCAGAATTCAGTCTGTTCTTATTGTTTGCCCCTATATTGCCCCTCTACGTCAGAGATGAAATGCCCCTCTGTGAGACAAACTTAATCTTTGTTGCATCCTTGTTCACGTCCGAAACTGGAACTTTACTTTTATTATTCATAGACCTCCACATGCCAGATACTGTTTACGATTCCATGAAGCAACATGTGTATTTCGCCCCATGGCTATATGAAGCCTTAGTAAAATGTTGACATGAACTTAATTTTGACCCTTTTAAACTTCCAAACTTATGTCTTTGGAACCTTAGGGGAAGTTCGTATGCCATCTGGGAAAACTGCTCGACCCAACATTTCTGATAACAAAGACGGAACGGTCACTGTAAAATATGCACCTGTAGAGAAAGGACTGCATGAGATGGACATTAAGTATGATGGAAATCACATTCCAGGTGGGTATAAATGTGTGTGAAACACAATGCAGGTTACAATTATGCAAATGTGATAAACAGAATTGAGTTGTTATGGTAAAAATCTTCTTATACTCTACATTTGTCTTCCAGGGAGTCCATTACAATTTTACGTGGATGCTATTAACAGCCGGCATGTAAATGCATATGGACCAGGCCTAAGCCACGGCATGGTGAACAAACCAGCCACATTCACTATTGTTACAAAGGACGCTGGAGAAGGTATGTGTTTTTAGTGAGGGAACAAATATCCATTCCTGTAGCTAAATGTGATTGTGATACATTTTTCTTTTCTAATGTTTATCTTGGTAACCAGGTTGTTTTAAAGTTCTAATGTATCAGGATTTGTACCGGTAGTTAATATCTTTCTACATGTTATTCAGAGGGATATTTGCCTATTATTGTACATGTTTACAGACATTTGGATTTTTTTTGCTTCTTCTAAACAAATTAGTAAAACTTGGACTTTTCTTTTTTGTATATTTTATATTTTATTTCTCTTCCACATAGGTGGCTTATCCCTTGCTGTTGAAGGTCCATCAAAGGCAGAGATCACCTGCAAGGACAATAAGGATGGAACTTGCACTGTATCTTACTTACCTACAGCGCCTGGAGACTATAACATTATTGTGCGGTTTGATGACAAGCACATCCCAGGCAGTCCATTTACAGCCAAGATAACAGGTGAAGGACAACTTTAATATTGCCAGAAAAGAGGGGTTGTCAGAAATACAGCGGATATTGCATACTAGTGCATCACTGTATCATAGTATTTACTTTTCTCCATTGACATTAAATATGTTCCATTATCCCATCAGGCGATGACTCCATGAGGACTTCTCAACTTAATGTAGGGACATCAGCAGATGTCTCTCTGAAGATCTCAGAGTCAGACCTTAGTCTGCTGACTGCTAGCATCAGAGCACCATCTGGTAACGAGGAGCCCTGTCTACTTAAGAGGCTGCCAAACAGGCACATAGGTAAGGGACAGGGAATGAGTCAAGATGTGGGTTAGAGATCAGAGTCACCAATGAATCTAAACTATGGTACTAAAAGGATCCAGGTGAACTGAACAGATCAACACTTATTTAGCCCCTTATGGACCAAACTTCTGGAATAAAAGGGAATCATGACATGTCACACGTGCCATGTGTCCTTAAGGGGTTAAACTTATATAATCAAAGATCAACAACACATTTCTAACATGTCACTTTGAATAATATTAAAAAAAACACTTAACAAATGAGAGATGTAATCACAATATATATCTATGAAAAAATATATTGCTTGTGAGTACTTCTTAAAAGCGTATTGTTATCTCTTAACACCAAGTGCACATGTATGAAAATAGATAATCCCAATACAGAAAGGAATTACAATGGTGTGAGCATAACATTTAAATAGTAATAAGAACTTTCTTTGGAAAAATAAGTGACCTTATTCTGTGGATGCTATCACTTCACAATGCTATCTTTTAATACTACAGGCATCTCCTTCACTCCAAAAGAAGTGGGTGAGCATGTGGTGAGTGTGAAAAAGAATGGTAAACACGTTACAAACAGCCCCTTCAAAATCATGGTTGGTCAGTCTGAGATTGGTGATGCAAGTAAAGTGAAGGTGTCTGGGAAAGGACTAATTGAAGGAACAACCTTTGAGATATCTGAGTTTATTGTGGATACCAGGAATGCAGGTAAAGCACTAAATCTCTTTTTTCCTATATTTCAGACTTTTTTGAAAAAGTCCAGTTTCATTATCCTTAACCATAATGTCCATCTTCCTTCTAACTCTTCCTCTTTCGTTATGTGCCTCTCAGGTTACGGTGGTTTGGGGTTGTCCATTGAAGGTCCAAGTAAAGTCGATATTAATTGTGAAGATGTTGAAGATGGGACATGTAAAGTATCATATTGTCCCACTGAGCCTGGAACATATATTATCAACATCAAGTTTGCAGAGAAACATGTACCAGGTGGGTCAGCAGTTAACTTTCTAATGTACAGCTACTTGTCAGCTGTGCTTTTGGTTATCCTTCTTAAACACTCATCCCAAGAAAGCTACATCCAACACACTCAGAATACAATAACAAAAAAAACAGAGAATGTAATTTTTTTCTAATACATGGGCAAGTCAATTTCTATATCCATGCTTTCATACACGTCTTTTAAAACAGATATATCATGAAAATGCTTTTTTTTTTTTTGGCTTGGTGACACAGCATTGTCATTTTTCAATGCAGGAAGTCCATTTATGGTGAAGGTTACAGGTGAAGGACGAATGAAAGAAAGTATAACCAGAAGACGCCAGGCTCCTTCCATTGCAAGCATTGGCAGCACATGTGACCTCAATCTCAAGATCCCAGGTATTGAACTGTATTTAGCTAGAAATGTCAATTCCATAAGTATCATTCCTTAGTTGAGTAACAACCATAACATACGCTTATTTAAAATTATTACAGAGTTGGAACTTGTCTAGATAATAATCGAGTAAATTGTGTTCCATGATTTCATTATGTGGTTTGAATTTGCTGTTTATCAGACAAATCTCCTAAAATGTTATTTTTATTAGACATGTTCAAATTAAAGCAATTTCCATCGTGCATCAGCATTTGACTTTTTTTGTAACTTGGTTTATGTATAGAGTAGCCTCTAATAATGACTTACAGTTTTGCTAAGCATTCTGCATAGTTAATTCTTGAGTTAGATGAGCCTATTTGTTGTTAATATGACATTATATTTTAATTTTTTTTAAAAAAAAATTTACACTTACTACACCTGTAGATTAAAGGAAGAAGTGTAGAATCCTTCACAAAATATCAAATGAATGGGCCTTTCTTACTCTTTCTATTTTCCCCATTAGGCAATTGGTTCCAGATGGTTTCAGCACAAGAGCGCCTAACCCGTACGTTCACACGCAGCAGTCACACGTACACACGCACAGAACGTACAGAGATCAGCAAGACCCGAGGCGGTGAAACAAAACGGGAAGTGCGAGTGGAGGAATCAACGCAGGTTGGAGGAGATCCATTCCATAACGTGTTTGGAGATTTTCTGGGACGGGAGAGCCTGGGAACTTTTAGTACCATTGCAAGACAAGAGGGTGAGTATTTATAAAACTGTTTATTAATGTACAAAGTGTAGATGAATCCAAGTACAACTGAAGCACAAATCTATACAGAATCATAGAGAAACGGCTTGAGTTCCACACAGCATAATTACATTACGTACACCTACTTACATAACATGAAAACATAACATACAATACCTGTTGAAAACAACATTGAAAACAACGTAAAAATGCAGGATTACTTGCGGAATAGTTAGCAGAATAAAAATATACAATTAAACTGCATTTTAGGAGATTAGGTGTGATTTATGGCCAGACAAATCGCTAAATCCTCTCTTTATTGAACACAAGTCCCTGTCATTTTCTTGGTGTCTTTCTGTGGAATGTGAATCCTCTGTTTTCTACTGCTATATTTAGTAAGCATTGAGCAGAATGTAGATGTCATAGGTATTGTTGTATATGATAAGCAAAACCTACAATGAGTAGTTATCTGATGCTTAACTAAATCTGAAATAAAGAGAATTAACATTCTGTCTTGCTTCTGTTCACATGAATTGGTTTGTCATTTATTGGCCATTTTATATCCCCATTGCAAAGAAAGCCTTAATACAGTAGAAAAAAATACAATTTTGCAAATATACAAATGTATAGTTATTAACACAATTTTTAGAGAAAAATAGCACTTACAGTTTGGTTTCATGTACTGTACTAAGTACTGTCTCTGTTCTCATTAAGGTGAAGCTGGTTCACAGGATATGACAGCCCAGGTGACCAGTCCTTCAGGAAAAACTGCAGATGCCGAGATCATTGATGGTGAAGACAGCACATACAGTGTACGCTTCGTGCCACAGGAGATGGGATCTCACACTGTTAGTGTGAAATATCGTGGACAGCACGTACCTGGGAGCCCTTTCCAATTCACGGTTGGACCTATGGGGGAAGGCGGTGCACACAAAGTCAGAGCTGGAGGCACTGGCTTGGAGAGGGGCGTTGCTGGAGTTCCAAGTAAGAGAATGTGGTAGACATTTGAAAATATTAGATTAAAAAGTACTAAACTAAAGATACAAATTATATTAATAGAAGTGAAAGTGTAATGATTGTATGTCTATTTTCATAGCTGAATTCAGTATTTGGACCAGAGAGGCTGGAGCTGGAGGTCTGTCTATCGCTGTTGAAGGCCCTAGTAAGGCAGAAATCTCTTTTGAGGACCGTAAAGATGGTTCTTGTGGAGTGTCCTACATTGTACAGGAAGCTGGTGAGTTTGTAAGCAAGGGGAATGCAATATGTAGTACAAATTGATTCAAAGATTCATTCAATGCTATGGTATTTATGTTGCTATATTTGCAAAGCAAATATTTGATTTTCTATTGAGAATTATTCTTCACACAAATATCGCAGTAGTTAAAGGGACACTCTGAGCACTATAACCACTACAGCTAATTGTAATGGTTATACTTAACTGAGTATTTGGGTACCACGCCTATGTTTGCTGTCAAAACAAATAAAAACTGACTCTGCATCCAATCAGATAATTTAGAAGTTACGCTCAAAAGGTGTTTGACAGAAAACCAGGCCAGACTTGTTGTACCATATTCACTAGATGAACTGTAGTGGACATAGTGTGTCCCTGTAAGACATTAACAGATATGCACTTATCTTGTATATAATGTTACCTAACATATAATCTGTTACTTCCATCATATTAATGAGATGTGTTTCTACAAAGGAACATCTGCTGGTTTAGCCATATGTAAGTATTTATCTTTTGTGTTACAGGTGATTATGAGGTCTCTATAAAATTTAATGATGAACACATCCCTGACAGCCCATTTGTAGTCCCAGTGGCGTCTCGATCTGATGATGCCCGTCGTTTGACCGTCACAAGCCTCCAGGTTAGTGTGGTGCTTTATATCTACAGCTATTAAAAAAAAAATCTCAAAAATATAGACAGATAATTGGCGGATAGACATGAGGTGCTATGCATATGAATTCTTGAGATACTACTAAACAAATGAATCATGGATGGATTTAGAAATACATATCTATGCATTCATAAGATATCTCACACATATCTTTGGTTTAAAATTTACAGGAAACAGGTCTAATAGTCAACCAGCCAGCCTCTTTTGCTGTACAGCTGAATGGTGCACGAGGCGTGATTGATGCTAAAGTACACACACCATCAGGAGCTGTAGAGGAATGCTACGTGTCTGAAGTAGATAGTGGTAAGGAAAGGGAATCTTGGGGTATGATGTCATAACGAAAGTTCAGTGACTGTTGCTTTTTAATTCTTGCATTCTTCTTTTTATTTTCAGACAAATACGCAATCCGTTTCATTCCTAATGTGAATGGAGTGCACTCAATTGATGTTAAGTTCAATGGGCGCCATATCCCAGGAAGTCCATTCAAGATTCGTGTAGGAGAGCAGAGTCAGGTTGGAGATCCTGGTCTTGTCACAGCATATGGCCCAGGACTTGAGGGTGGAGTCACAGGTAATAATGATTCATGTAATGTATGTAAACTGTTTTCATTGTTAAGTACTATACTCTTCATTTTCACCATCACCAATAACATGATTTAGTATCGGTTATTACCTGTTGCTAACACAAAACCCTTACACTTTCCCTTCCAATTTGTGTAGGTAGACCCTCAGATTTCATTGTAAGCACTCTCAATGCTGGATCTGGGTCTCTCTCTGTGACAATTGATGGACCTTCCAAAGTTAAGCTGGATTGCCAAGATTGCCCTGAAGGATACAAAGTCACATATACCCCAATGGCCCCAGGAAATTATCTTATCTCCATCAAATATGGAGGTCCCCAACACATTGTCAGAAGTCCCTTTAAGGCTAGAGTAACAGGTGAGTGACAGCGAGCATGGACAACAAAAACACATAAGCAAAAACGGACTAAATACATGTTTGGAAAAAAAGTTCTACTAAATATAAACAAGAAAAAAATATTGTTATTAAAGTGAAATAAAAGTCAGAAAGTTGTTCAAGGAGAAATTTTTTTAGTTGTATATAATATAAAATATGTAAAATATATTAACTGTGTTTTATTAAATATTGTTCACCTGTTGAATGCAATATATTATATTGATTGTTCACAGTCACAGAATATTTTGTACATTATTAGATTCTTTTAGAGAAATTATTAAGCCCATGTTCCCAAAATGTTTATTTTCTTTTTGGATAGTCTTTGTCAAGAAATGTCTCATCTGGTCTAATGTCCAAGAAACATTTCTGTTTGCAAACAAATATCATAGGAATCAGGATTTTTAAAACATCTTTTTAAAAATGTCTTTCTCCTCTATCATTCTTTCAGGCCCACGTCTCTCGGGAGGCCACAGTCTCCATGAAACATCCACAGTGCTGGTGGAAACTGTCACAAAATCTTCAGCTTCTGTAGGGGGATATGGTATGGCTGTTCCCAAATTTACATCTGATGCCAGCAAAGTAGTGTCTCGTGGCCCTGGGCTGTCAAAGGCTTTTGTTGGAGAAAAAAACACTTTCACAGTAGACTGCAGCAAAGCAGGTAAGGACAGGGAAACATCTATTGATGAAACATATCGATATATTATTTGTCACAAAATTAATTGGTAATTTACAGTGACATTCTATCTTCAGATCTTATGTATTTCCTAAATTCAAAGAGGTTAAGTGAGAATTTTAATTTGTTTTCTTAAATCACTATGAATTGTAGACTATGATATGGAATAGCTTTTGTGGTGGTTTAGCTTGGCAGTAAAACAGATGTATTTAACTAGATATTTTGTGGATTTTACAGGCACCAACATGCTGATGGTTGGAGTACATGGTCCCAAAACCCCTTGTGAGGAGGTATATGTGAAGCACATGGGCCACCGTCTTTATAATGTGACCTACACCGTGAAGGACAAAGGGGACTATATCCTCATCGTTAAATGGGGAGACCAAAATGTACCTGGGAGTCCCTTCCAAGTCTCTGTACCTTGAAACACTCTTTCAACTTAGATCATTGGGGGCATCACTTAAAGCCTACCAACCTGCCAATCAAGAAAAAACGCCTCCTTTTTTATGCAAATGCACTGATAAAAACAAAACAAAAACTGTAATGGCATAATAGCTAATTATAAATTCACCAAGTGCCTTTGTATATCCAGTATATGGATTTTACCATAATATGAGGGTGTTGTATTGGAGCAACAGCAATAAGTGGGTGGGAGGAGGGGGAAGGGAAAAGGGCAACAAGCATGCACATACCCACAATGCCCGTGTCCTTTCTGCTTTTTACAAATTTTTCTTTATATTCCGGTTGGTGTTTATTTTTTTAAAGTCGCTTCCTGTCATGTTTTATATGCGCTTTATGTGTTTTTTTTCTATTGGAGGGAGGCGGGATGTTTTTTGGGGGGTGAAAGGTCAAATAAGGTATCAGGGGTCAATGAGTCTTCATGTAAGACGACTGCTGGTTATTAACAAAATGCACACTGAGTAATCTGGAACATCAATGTACCAGATCCCTTTCTGGATTTTATCTTAAATATAGTTCCATTTTAAAATGGTAGCTAAAAATAAAAATTATGTTCATTGGTTTAATTAATAATTTGTTTTGTTTATAGCTTAAAATGGCATGATTTTTTTATAAACACTTTATAAAAAAATTATGTGTTACTCTTAATGTCTTTCAAAATTAAATTTTCACCTTATTACAATTCTGCATTATGATTACATTTTCCATATTTTTTAAAATTGTTCATATTTTATTTATTGTTTTCAAATTGGAAATGAAATCTTCGGTTCTGAAAAATAATTTAAATTTAGTTTTGTTATTTCATGTTAATCATCTTGTTTTTATTTTATTTTTTAAATTTGGTATATTCTTATAGTCTAGTCTATTTTAGTTATTTTTTAATTTGCAGACCTGCAGGTTTTGACCATATACCATTTGGCCCTTTGACCTCTGACCCGGCCAGTCGTTGAGGAATATGTTTTGATTGTCTTAGCACTGTAATATGGGGCGGTGGTGAAGTCTTCTGGTAGTTTGCCATGAGGCTGCTTTTTTGTAGAGAGTTGGATTAGATGCATCACACATGGCCCTCAAAAGCATATGGTCATTTAGAACAGATCTTTAAATCGGTGCATACAGAACAAAAAATAAAGATTTATTTGCTAATGTGCTGTAATTGTTTGCAGTGTTTTCTTTTAACAATACCATTTAGCATTTTATTAAGAAAGCTTAAAAATGTTTTAAAAAACTGAGAGGTGGGGGATGACTTTTTAATGCATTATAAAGGTAATGCAATCCAACAAAGCTATGCATGTAATTAAAGGATAGAACTGTGACAATCTTACTGAACAAACCCATATTAAACCATCAATTAAGTATAACATTTAATCTGAACATTTGCTGGAAATTTTTCTAGTGTATTGTATAGATTTAATTGTATAAAATAATTGAAGCTGAACATATTATTATTATTATTTTTTTTTTTCAACCGTTCACTATACCAAAATCTGAAAACCTATCTGCACATTTGGGTGTTTGTAGATACACCTACATTGTTTATCTTTACATCAAATAAGCAACCTCAGCATTACATTCAGTTAATATAACAATCTGATTGTCTCTGAAGTTCAGACATTATATTATTAACCAAAAGCAGAAAAATGTGTAATTAGGAATTATTGGGATTTGCATTACTTTAGAATGTTAGCATTTTTTATTATAATATTTATGTTCATGTGTGTTTTTATAGTTTTTAAGTATGCTCACAGTGTCCACAATGCTGTTCAATGAGAAGCTTTTAATTAGACACTGCCCAGTATTACCAAGGAGGTTAGTGCTGGGCAGAAAGTGGGTGGATCAGCTTAGCTGCAAAACTTGTAGAAGATGTTGCATGTTAGGCTTGTTTTGTCAAACAGCTCCATAACCCTACAGTAATATGTATAAATGTATAATGGACTGGCCCCACCCAACATGGCAGCCCAGATCCAACATACCAGCAATCCCAGATAATCATATTGCATTTTTATGGAATACCCGAAAACAAAGGCATTAACATAACTTACGTTACAAGCAATGCTACTCCATGTTTGCACGACTTGCTTCAGTTGGAGAAACGGTTAAATATCACTATTTATTTTCTCTAGCCCCAAAATAATGACAAAAAAATCTTTCTTAGCACAACCCTCACTTATTCTAATATTAAAGCTGCCACCACCAAGATACTTTAAATATGTGGAGTCCTATGTCACCAAGGCAAAATAAGGTGCCCCCCCCCCCACCCCTGAAATAAAAGGCACATGAGTCTCATACCAGACAGAGCTAGAACTTTTAATAAACATTTTTTTATGAACAAAAATAGCAACAGTAAATACAAATAATAAATACTACCAAACAATTTACACCAAATAGACACAATTTAAACTAAGAAATGAACACAAATAATAACTAGTATTTATATAGCAGCCAGTGGGACTCAAAGCACTTTTCAGCACACTCAGAATTAACCAAATTGTCTGCTGAATAGTAATAAATGTTATTATCCAATTGATAGCACTCATTTTATTGACCTCAGAAGGACAAAATGCTGAGTTGACCCTGATGGGATTTGAACCTGTGACCTTGCATTATTTGAACAGACTTTGTGGGTAGGGAATTTACAAACTGAGCTACCTCAGCAGCTAGCATGTACTACTCCCCTAGTGAAATAACTGTATGTTCTGCCTTTGGTATGGAAAGTAAAAATCTAAAACTACAATTTGACTCTGAAACTGAATTACAAAGCTTTAAAGTGTATCAAGTTATAATTAGATATAATGCAATACATTTTTGTATAGGTGCTCCTGTTCTCTTGGTAAACAGGTCTGATCATCTCTGTGAATCTAGACAATTAATTTGACACCGAAGTATATATTTTATGTCTAATGACCTACACGTTAAATTGCTGCCAAAAACATTTCCAAAAGTGAAAGTCAGTGAACTTTAGAAGAACTTAAACTGTACATTGCAAATATTGTGTTGGTTTTTTTTTCAAGCTATGACTGCTCGGGTCATGATTAATAATCTTCCAGTAATTAAAGGGATACACCAGAGCCCCCAAAAATTTAAATATAATATTTAGTAGATATACACCAAATAAAAACTTGCATTCATTTAATAATGCATTTTTCATTTAGGATATATCTAAAAACAGCTTGCAAAAACTGTAAATCTCTTGTCTGAAGCCTTTGCAAGCCCTCCCCATCTAACTCTGCCCATATTTTCTGATGCTGTCCAATCTCAAACTTCCCAATGCAGTTCAGTGAGAAGTCTTTGCAAGGCATGTATTCTGGGCAATTGCTGCCCCTTGAGTTTAGCTCCACTGAGCTAACCAAACCAGGAAGTAACAGGACCCATGGTTTGCTTTTAAAGCCAGGGGGTACAACAATGTTAATTTATAAAGGTGAGCATTTATATTGCTATTTACACTTCGCAAAGTGTTGGACACACTCTTCACACATAAAGCATTTCAGCAAGCTAAAGTTTTAAGGGGTCAGGACTCAGGAGTTTCCTGCTAAGTGCACACAACCATAGAACCATATACATGTCACTATGGAGGAAAGCTAGGCCTGGTGCCCATTAGACTGATCCCACCAACAAGAAAACTCCAGATACAGAGCCAGTACCAGCAAGCAGGACTTACAATATAAAGTTCTATGCAAGCCATGGTTTAAAAAGTTACATCCCCCCGGCAAGCCTTGAAGAATTAATAGCACGCTCACCAGGGATTAATTTGTACTCACAATGGCTGAATATTCACTCACTAATGGCTACGGCAGGCCTGGAGGGTCCATAGCACACTACCCATTGGTTAAATTATATTTACCAGGTCTGAATATACACCCACCAAAGGCTAGTCGTGAGTGAAAATTGAATCCTGCCAGCATGCCATTTTTCTAAAAGAGCTAGTAAAACCTCACATGATCACTTCAGCCTTTTTTTTATAAACCTCATCGGCGAGGCAAAAACAAATAGACAATATGAGCGTACTGAGAATGGACAAAAACTCGGTAGCCTACCTTCCATTTTTTGCATAAATTGTAAAGCCCTCTGGATAGCAGTGTTAATTTTGGCAGCAAATTTCAATTTTGTTTTAGTCATAGCCTTTTGACTAAAAAGCTATTTTAGTTTTAGTCGTATTTAAGTCAATTGAATTATTTTAGTTTTAGTCTAGTTTTAGTCTACTAAATCTCCAGATGTTAGTTGACACGACTAAAATCTAGTGGGTTTAGTTATAGCCTCTATCTGTCTCTTGTGCCCCTTCCCAGGCCCCTCTGTGTCTCTTTGTGTCCTCCCAGCCCCTTTAGGTGTCTCTCTCCCAAGCCCTGGTTTGCCTCTTTTGCCCCTTCGTAGGCCCCTCTGTGTCTCTTTGTGCCCTCCCAGCCCCTTTAGGTGTCTCTCTCACAAGACCTGGTTTGACTCTTTTGCCCCTCTGTGCAGTGTAAATTTTGGCGGCAAATTTCAATTTAGTTTTAGTCATAGTCTTTTGACTAAAAAGCAACTTTAATTTTAGTCGTATTTTAGTCAGCTGAATTGTTTTAGTTTTAGTCTAGTTGTAGTTGACTAAATCTCAAAAAAAATTGTTGACTAAAATTGTTAGTCGACAAAATTAACACTGCTGGATAGTGGTACTACCTAAAAACAAATCAGGTCCTAAGCACGATTTTGCTCCCATGTACCATTGCAGAGAGCACCTAGACCTGTCACATATCACACACACACAGCTATTCCCTAGAGTGAAAATTCAAATAGAATTTAAAGTGAATTTCAAATCTAAGGTCAAAATAGCTGAACAGGAACAGGTCTCTAAGTTAACTATGAAATCCATAAATTTAACTCACTTTTAACTCGCTTTAAATTAATACTTAATTAACCCCTTAAGGACAGATGACGGAAATATTCCGTCATGATTCCCTTTTATTCCAGAAGTGGTGTCCTTAAGGGGTTAATAACATTGCCAGGCTACAAGGAACAAATCAATTAATTAAAAATGTGTAGAATAAATGTATTGTTCAAAATAAAATTCATATATAAAGTACTATAGTTACAGATATTTTGCTTAGAGTAGTTTAAATATGTGGAAGTGCCAGTGACAATCTGGAAATTAAGAATGTGTCGTAACAAAGTAAATGCCATGGGATTTAGAGTTTAGTATTTTACTTCTGTTGTTAGCGAAGTTTTCCCATATAAATTATATTGTATTGCCAAGACACACTGAATGCGGCTAATGTCCACATCTTAATGAGGTCATCAGTCTGTCTGTCGTTGTAGGCACCCCCCCATCCCCTTCCTCCAAAAAAATGTGTCTTCACCTGTGTGTCTCGTAGCACCCCTTTTGAATATCTTACCCCCTTCAGTGTAGAGGGGAGGGGAGCTGTTGATGGGGGCTGTGGAGTGGTCACAGGGGCTGTAGAGTGGGGGCACAGGGGCTGTAGAGGGGAGGGCACCGGAGATGTAGAGGGGTGCACAGGGGCTGCAGAGGGGAGCAGGGGCTGTAGAAGGTAGAACGGGAGCTGTGAAAGGGAGGGGAGCTTTGGAGTGATCACAGGGGCTGTAGAGTAGGAGCAGAGGTGCTGTAGAGCAGGCAGAGGGGCTGTAGAGGGAAAGACAATAGCTGCAGAGTGGCCTGGGGGAAGTGGGTGGCCAGGGGCTGTAGAGGGGGGCAGGGGTTGTGGTGGGTGACAATTGCTGTAGAATGGGACCAGGGGCTGTGGTGGGGCCCGGGGTTGTAGAGAGGGGCAGAGGCTGTGGTGGGTAACAGTAGCTGTAAAGGGTGGCCAGGGGCTGTGATGGGGCAATGGGCTGTAGATGGCAGCAGGGGTGGTGGGTGGGGCAGAGGGAATGTAGAAGGGGCATGTGGGCTGTAGAGGGGGCAGAGGGGCGGTAGAAGTGGGCAGAGGGGCTGTAGAGGGGCTGCTTAAAAATAAATCTTTTTGATTAAAATAAAAACAAAACTAAAATAAAGTAAATTCCCACCTCCCTAAGGCTTACCTTGGGCCAAGGAGGGGGTAAATTTTATCCCAGGTCTGCTAGGGAGTCTGGGAGAAGAGGAGTGAAAGTCATGCCCTCCTTCTGACATCATCAGGAGTTGGCTGAATTTACTGCCAATCTGCTGTGTGCTGGCTTCAGGGAGAGCAAAGTAGGCTGCAGTGATTTGAAAAATTTGAGTCCCCAGCCAGAAGCAGGGGATTTGGATTTTTGCGCCCACCTCCTCTAGTGCCCTAAGGCGCCCTCGTCGACCCTGCTTGTAGGTAGATTACATAACACCATATAATTCATACATTATTTTGTTTATAAATCCAATATTTCACTGGACTGAGACCCTGTCCACCCATTATTTTTTGTGCTTATAATCTAAACTGAAATTGTCTCAAAGTCCTCAAATATATTTGAGTAACTGCTATATTTGGCTGATGGAATTTAACAGCATAGGATAAACTTGAATATATGTTAACATTATTATGAAAGTGTTGACTAAAATTGGTGAATTACACAGTAAGAAAGCATGCGTTATATATTCAAGATCAGCATAATTTGTTTATAGTTAGGAGCAGTGGCGTACTAAGGGGGGGGCGGGGGGGGGCGGTCCGCCCCGGGTGCCAGCCGGGTGGGGGGTGCCATGGCCAGCCCCCCGCCCCCCCCATGCTGCAGCCGCCCGAGCGCTCTCAAGAGCCTCTCAGGCGGCTGCAGCTTCTGCTCCGGGCGGTGCGTCCATGAGGGCGGACCGCACCGCCCGGGCGCAGCCTGAGGAGAGGCTGACAGGAGGGAGCGCTCCTGTCAGCTCCCTCACTGCAGCATTGATAGTCCGCGGGTACAGGAGGCAGCTGCTCTCTGTACCCGCGGACTATACTGTGCTCGGCCACGCTACAGGGAGGTAGGGGGAGGGGGTGAGTAAAAGGAGAGGGGGGTGAGAAAAAGGAGGGGGGGTGAAAGAGGAGAAGGGGGGGGGAAAAGAGGAGAGGGGGGGTGAAAAAGGAGAGGGGGAGTAGCAAGTGGAAAAGAGGAGAGAGGGGGTGAAAAGGAGAAAGGAGGTGAAAGAGGAGAAAGGGGGGTGAAAAGTAGAGGGGGGTGAAAGGGGGGTGGAAAGGGGGGTGAAAAAGAGGAGAGGGGGTGAAAGAGGAGAGGGGGGTGAAGAGGAGAAAGGGGGGGTGAAAGTGAGAAAGGGGTGAAAAGAAAGGAGGAGGAGAGGGGGGGTGAAAGAGGAGAAAGGGGGTGAAAAGGAGAGGGGTGAAAGAGGAGAAAGGGGGGTGAAAGAGAGGGGTGAAAGAGGAGAAAGGGGGGGGTGAAAGGAGGGGGGGTGAAAAGGAGAAAGGGGGGTGAGAGAGGGGTGAGAAAGAGAGGGAGAAAGGGGGGTGAGAAAGGAGGGGGAGAGAAAGAGAAAGGGGGGGGTGAGAAAGGAGAGGGGGTGAGAGAAATTAGGAGGGAGGGAGAGATATTAGGAGGGGGGAAAGAGAAATTAGGGTGGGGAGAGAAATTGAAATTAGGAGGGGGGGAGAGAAATTGAAATTAGGAGGGGGGAAGAGATATTAGGAGGGGGGAAAGAGAAATTAGGGGGGGAGAGAAATTAGGAGGGGGGTGAGAAAGAGAAATTGGGAGGAGGAGAAGGAAATTGGAGCGGGAGGAGAGATTGACATTCATCACATACACACAATGCACCTCTTGCACACAGAAAAACACACAATGCATTACACACACAGACACACATACACAAGCAATGCAACCGTTACACACAATGCATCCCTTACACACACAGAAACACACAATGCATTCATTACACACATTCAATGCATCCCATACATACACAGAAACACACCTTGCAGCCCTTACACATACAAACACAATTTCACACAATGCATTCCTTACACACATATCAGGACATCCCCTACACACTCCACCCCCTGTGAACAAACTCATTGGTGGAACATGAAGGTGGACCCTGGGACCCAGACCTTGAGCTGTGTAAAGGGCCCCAAAAAATGGAGCTGCTTCCCGTTCTCCCAGAACATTGATTTTTGTGACCACAGTTACAAACCGCCTCCAGAGAGACTGTTCTGCACCAGACCAGAAGCCAGACTGCAGCTAGAGCCCATCATCATCCTCATCTGGTTGTAAGTAGGCAATCTAGTATATTATTCGTAGCACTAAGCTCTAATTTACCTCACATTAAAGAAACACTATAGTCCCCAGAACCACTTCAGCTTAATGTAGTGGTTCTGGTGTCTATAGCCTGTCCCTGCACTGCTGCAGGCCTTTTAATGTAAACACGGCGGCACTGCAGCACTGGCGTTAGTTAACATGGCAAATCATATGGGTGGGGCATTGTGATGTCACATGGGGGGGGGGGCGGCAAACTTTACTTTTGCCTAGGGCGGCAAAAATCCTTGCACCGGCCCTGGCTGGAGGGGGCTGTGTGAGCTGTGGCCGCACAGTGTCCCATGGTAGTTAGGGTACAGCTCACACAAGCAAACAGCTGATAAACTGGCCGCACGGAGGAAATGTGTATGTGTGACTGTCTGCCTGTAACTGAGTGTGTGACTGTCTGCCTGTAAATGTGTGTGGGGCTGCAGGGATTTTGTAGAAGGGGGCGGGGGTTTTGTATTGGCACAGGAGTTTTTATAAGGGGGGATAAGCAGGGGATTTGTGGAAGGGGGTTGCGGGGGTTTTGTAGACGAGGCAGTACAGAACCTTTAAAAAATTTTGCAGTTTTTTTTTTTTTTTTTTTTGGGGGTGCCAAGCACAGGATCCGCCCCGGGTGCCAAATGCTCTAGGTACGCCCCTGGTTAGGAGGCAACATCTCTTGGATGTATCTCAAGCAGGACACCATTCTTCCGGAAGAATGTATCACTCACAATATGACATCGTCGAAAGAATGGAGACTGTCTTTTGTCAATGTTACCTGAAAATAAGAGACTTTTTGTCAAAATATTAAAATAGATAAATATGTGTAATTAAACAGGAAACATTATTTAAAAAAAATATTCTTTTGTCCTAAATACATTGCAGCATTTTATAGACACAATATACAGATAAAGTTTTATATAGACATCATACAAGATAACACTGTAAAAACTATAGATAAAAGTTTATTTAATACTGAAGATTCAAGCCATAGGCATAGCAACTGCCAATAAGTAGAAGACTTTCCTGGATGATTGAAAGAGACACATTTTTTGTCAAACAACTCCAAAACCGTTTGACAAAAAAATAAAAATAAAAAAGTGGGATGGCTCCCAGAAACTATTTGCACCATAACCACTACATTGAGCTATAGTCATCACAAAACAATAAGAATTCAATGTTCTGAGGAATACTTTTATATCTATTTTATAAAAGAAATTGTAGCATCATATTATACTCATGCCTACCTATTTGCCAACCATAAGCCCAGTTACTTGTTAAAGGGTAGAAGTATTTCTCCTCTGGCTTCATTTGATTCCTCACTCGTAGATATTCATTTCTTCCTTTTCCATCTCTGGATCTGCATTGGTAGAGTAAGCTCTGTGTCTTCGGACTGACTGGCCTCATGTCTGCTTCAGTAATGGTGGTCAGCTGACTTCTTTCAAAGTCATTTACAGTTTGACCAATGTCTTTGAGCTCTTGTTGTTCCTGTCTAGTCATCATGCTTGAGTTATTTATTATCGGCAATTTTATATCAATCTGTGTTTTGGGTTTTTGTTTCGATTTTTCTTGGACTTGTATTTCTGGGCCATAGCGATGCTGCCATTTAACACGTGACATGATCTCCTTTATATATGACTCCTTTATAAAATCCTGCTGCTGTGTCGTCAGACTTACCAACCGAGCCATTCTTTGATATTCCAACTTTGGATTCTGTTAAGTGTGATTTACTGGTAGGGAATTATACAAATTTTATCAACATAAGAAATTGTCTCTTGGAGAGATTCAATTGAAGTAAATGTTGATTAACACTTTGTCATAGTACCTGTTAAATAAGAAGACAAAATCTATTAAACAGCAGAAGAATTTGAGAAAAATAACATAAATGTTGTGCAGCACAAAGATTTTAAACATGTTTTGTCAATAGAATAATTGATCAATAAAGAAGATTTTGAATAATACGATAGTAAGAGCAAAAATACTTACTACATTACGTACCTTTCGTTATTCAGTTAATGCAGAGTAATGCAGTTTTAGTTGTATGTATGTTTTGCTGTTACAGAACATGTGATGCAGCAATTTAAACTCAGTATACTTGGAAATTCTAAGATAGAATGTTATAATGTCTCTCCAAACAGAATTGCTTGCAATGCTATGATGTTCATAAGGAAAGTTGTTTTGTCTCCTTCTCTTTCGTAATGTGCATCTTACATTCGGAGATTAGTCACTGCCAAAAAGTCACAGTTGGTTTGATGGGAACCACTGAAGTTACTCTTGCAGTCATTTCATGGCTCATTACCACTGTTGATATTGCAGTAAGTTTCCAGGGTGATAATATCAACTCTTTGACACATGCATATACACTAGATTACAAATAGAAATCTGATATACAATATGCAGATCAAACATTCTGTAGATATATAAGCTTCTAAGCAAGGTACATATTAATCTCAGTTACATGAGTGACAGCATTTGCGTTGCCTGTAGCTTAAAAGTAGGTTTTACAGAAAGAGTACAGTAGAATGAAAATTGAGCCATTTATTACATTGAACATACACTGTATTATAGGCAATGATATTAAAATACTTAATCATGTAAAGTGATGCCAGTTTATACTCAAAGAATGCAGACTTTGCCGCCTGGTCAACCATGCCTGATGGGCTAATCTACTGGCCTAAAGTGAGATTTGTTTAGTCGGGAGTATGTTAGGAGTCCTTGTCCTTCTGCTTTGGACCACTGGGAGTTATTACTGTCTTTAAATAGATATTCCATAATAAAGGCTCATTTATCTTGGGATCTCAGCAGGTATACTGGAATGAGTACTGAAACTGCTTCTGGTCGCAGCATAATTTAGTCTTCAACTCAAAAGCATTCAATTATACTTGGGCCTTCAACAGGGACAAATCCTGACCCACCTCTGTTGCAAGGATTAGACGATACAAATCTGTACACAAATCTGGGGTTGGGCAGATTGATATCTACTACAATACTGGATGCAGTTACTGTGACAAATTCCCCTTTCCACGTGTGTTAGCCACAAGCTCCTGGAGAAGCCTGCTTGCCAGCCCCTTGCCCACAGACTATGGGCCTTGCAGGGAAACCTGTAAAGGACTGTTTAGAAGGCTTGGTTGGTGTAATTTCCCTATACCAATCGGGAACCGAACAACCACACAAACTAGGGACCACCTGTGAGCTTGTTAAACCGTATTAACAACTTGTAACGGTTCTCACCTCTAATGTTCTAATTGTTCGTCTGGGTGGCCGCAATATGTATGAACAACCACGAGGTGGCGGCCATCTTGTTCGCATGAATGTAGGCAGCGGTGTTTGGTCGTCGAGTTCATGGAACGCTGGACTTCCATCATCGCCTGCTTTTGGTTCTGTAGATCCTAGAAGAACACTGTTCGGTTGAATCGTTCGACTGGATGAGGGGAAAAAGCTCCATGGTTCAAATATAGACTACGTTCAGTAATTCTTTCGTTTTTACGTCAGCGAAGTTGACCGACCGCTAGCACTGATTTCATGATACTTTTTTGGGCTTAAGCCACATGTGCGGTTGGTCAAAACAGGACTTCCATGGAAAAACCAAACCCCTGAACCGATCTGGGTGATTTTTGGATATGTTCGTCAACAAGATCTGGGGATGTGACCTTTGTGGTGTTTTCGTGTATTTTATGTGTATTTTGGGGTGTTTTATAAATTGTTGTATTTTCTGTCCCTGAGAGAAAACTAAATTATAGCTGTTCCAGCTAGGAAGCAGTCCTTTGGCGGAAGTACTCAGCTGGGGTACATGGAGCTCTGTTACAGTTACAAGCATTGATATGTTAATTTGGGGCATTACCAATACCACCCTTTATTGTCCATGCCTTATCTCCCTTTCATATAGCGTTGATTTCCAACAATTCCAAATTGGTTTAGTGCATAGATTTCACTCTTTTATTTACCTGTAGTGTAACTAGAACTGGTCCTACAGTTTATATAATGTTTCTCAGTCATACAATTAGCCAAGCATAATATAAAAAATAAAATGTGGTTTTGCTATCCTAATTTGAGATTGTTTGTTTGTATAATGCTTATGCCACCATACAAGAATTGTAAAAAAGACAGTAAATAGTGCATATTTGTATCTAACTTTTTTACTGACCTAATTAAGACAGTGCACACCTCGTATAGGATTTATAATATAGTAATATAGTACCCTGTTGGGTCAGGCCTTTGTTGCTTTTGTGATAACTCCCAGTAATGTGAAGTGGAATTCCTTTAATTCTGGTGCCACCACCACATTGAAAAGTGTATTGCAGATTCCCCCAAAATATACAGTGATTTTCTAATGGCCAGTCAGTTGTAGCAAACCTTTGCAAAAAATATAATCATTTATATGCTTGAGTGCTCTGGAGATTAAAGAGAGAAAATAGTTAAATATTTCCAAAACGTATGTGTAAAGGTTTATCGAGGGTTCACTGATATCAGGGGTTTAAAATCAATTCTCTGTATTTTTATGAATTAATGAGAGTTTCTTTACATTACTGTAATCCTTTCACGGACGGGTGTCCTATTACAGCTTCAAATCTGTCTCTCTGTATAATAGAGGAACAGATATGCAATTTAATCACTAAACACAAACTCCTGTTAGGCCCCATGCTTTTTGCCTAACTCACTTCTAATACTGTTTAATTGAAACCTGAAGCCTCAAATAGGTGTTAATAATATGTTACCTGCTATGCATGGCTGTCTGCTCTCTTTAATGCAACCAAATTCCTAGTGGTGCCCTGGCAGGAATGGACTTTTGATGAACTAAGATTGGTCTCTTGGGGGGCATGCCCAAACCTGTTATTTGCTAACAGCAGAGTATCCAGTAGCACAGCCCACACAAAAGCAATCAGTTTATTTAATTATTTTTTCAATGCTGACGTGTCTTATCAAAAAACAAATAAACACATGCAAGCTATTTAAAACACAAGCCATGGATCCAGTAATACTGTTGTGTTATAAAGGAGTTGGGTACTTCTGGATGTAAGGTTGCCAGAGTGTGAAATTTGTGTTTTGCAGGCCTATCTGTGGTGTTGTGTGTGTTTATCCAGGATGTCTGTGGTGTTGTGTGATGGGGACTGTTTGTGGGGTTGCGTGAGAGTGCTGTCTGTTGTGTTGTGTGTATATTGTGTGTGTATGTGCGTGTGGGGGTGTTTGCAAGTGTGTTTTACTGAAATAAATTATTCAAGTATTTTTTTAAACTATATAATCTTTAATAGTTTTCATATTATACACACATTTAATGACGTAGGTCAGACCTAAAACAAAAAATAATGTATCTATTGACATCATATTTAAAAAAAAAACACAAAAAAAACCCACGGAAACAAGTTCCATACGGAGAGGAGGACAGACTTATCCAAGTCAATTCATAAGATGAAAACCATAGGAAAAGAAGTTGCTGCCTGACTTAACTTGTAATTTTTTGACTTGCTCCAACCAGGTTTTGTCCATATCATATGATGCTCTAAAGATACCCATCTTCATTTTAATTTGATAATTTGAATTTTGACTTGATGCCAAACCATCTTCCAGCTTCTGGCAATCAACATCTTGGCTGAAGCCAAAATGCGTATCACAATAGTTGAAGCGGAAGCAAAACATTTTTGAATGTTTAATTGTAGTAATAAAACTCTGGGATGGAAATCAATAAAAATAAAACATTTTCAGTGATTCTATCCATTCTTCAATTATATAAATTTTTAATTCTTGCTGCCACTTTTTATCACAGGTAAGATAGGTTTGTCAGGGTCCCCCTTAATCAGATCCATACAGACTGCAACTAATTTATTCATTTTTATGCACTTAATGTTTTCTAATTTTATATGTTTGACAGGTCTATCCATACTTAAATGATCTTGAAGATAACTTTTTAGTATAATATAGTTAAGGATTTCTTTATTATGTAGACAAAAGTCCACACTTTTGAAATGAAATTAAACACTTAACCCTGTCATTGTCAAGCAGGAAGTCCCGAGGAAGCCAAAAGTAACTGGCGAAACGCTTAGACGACTCGTAGACTTAAAGGGACACTATAGTCACCCAGACCACTTCAGCTCAATGAAGTGGTCTGGGTGCCAAGTCCCTCAGGTTTTAACCCTTCAGATGCAAAACTAGCAGTTTCAGAGAAACTGCTATGTTTACATTTGGGGTTAAGCCAGCCTCTAGTGGCTGTCTTCCGGACAGCCACTAGAGGCGCATCTGCGACACTGGAGGCATATTATGCCTCTTCGCGCAAAGCGTCCATAGGAAAGCATTGAGAAATGCTTTCCTATGGACACTTTGAATGTTGTCGAGCATGCGCATTCGGCTCTGCTGACGTCAACAAGGGAGCATGGAGCTGGAATAAGGTAAGCTGCTGAAGAGGTGGGAGCACCTTCAGGGCACTATAGTGTCAGGAAAACTGCTTTGTTTTCCTGACACTATAGTGATCCTTTAAGATGTGAAACGGGAGTGAGGAAATCAGCTGTATTGACTTGCGCACCACGGAATACACAAGGATATCAAGTTACTTTCACAGCCCCACCGCATGGATTTTTAAAGATACAAAGCTCGACAGTGACTAGCGGTATAAACCGTATTTATTCACAACACCTTCTTGTAAGAGACAGTGTGTTTGTTCTCTTTCACTGATTTTATATGTAATAAAGATTGATGTGCACGTTACATTGCAATAGTTTTTATACGAATATTGGACTAGAATAATCTATCACTTATACACCATATTGGTTATTTATTTAGCTTACTTACACCAATGTAAGGATTATATTATGTTATATGAAACATACTGGCTGCTTATTTAGACCATCTGCACTATTATTTGTATTTTTCTTTCTCTCCTCTATATTTATATGCAATGAGAGGATCTTTTCTGATATCATCTACTGCTTATATTGTGAATACTGAGGTTTTAGTTTGGGCTTTTCCATCTAAACACTGTTCTATTAGAACTTTTTAACACTGAACAACACTGCTTCACTTTTACTTTGATTTTTGGTTTAGATTTTGAGTTGTGTTTTAGGTGAGCCACCTAAGTGTGCAACAGTTTATCTAAATTCTGAGTGCCAACCATACCAACTCTATCGCTTTAGGGAAGTTTAAAATCCAAAGAATTCTGGGGGGCGTGGCTTAGCAGCCGACGAAGATGGCAGCTTAGCAAGGGAGCTCCCGCGCATCCACGCTCAATCCAGCACCTGCAATAAGCATCGCACCCACAAACAGCCACTTACATGTCCCACGCGGGCCCTGGAGTCACCCCACGCAGGAAAAAAAGAGGGGAACCACCCGATTCATCCCCGACAGTGGCCGACATGTTCGCGGCCACGAGAAACACACAGGCCGCGCAAGATGGCCGCCGGACGGGCACACGAGGCTCGCAATCCCCTTCCGCAGAAACAGACAGGGGCCAGCCTGGACACCACGGCGATAACACCACACAAATCCTGCAACAACTAGCGGAAGTTAAAACATTCCTGGCGGGCGAAATCACGCGCAGCACACTGGATATCAAGGCCGAGATTCAGGCCCTAGGCGCCCGCACCTCAGAACTGGAGCAGCGCATGGAAGCTATAGTACAAGGCCATAACGCGATGGTGCAGCACTCCACATCCCTAAATCACCACCTCAGCGAGCTAGAAATGCAAGTGGAGGATCTATCCAATCGCACAAGGAGGAATAATCTCCGCGTCAGGGGATGGCCGGAGGCAACACAAGAAGGCCCCCTCGCACCCATTATGGAGGCATATTTCAGCAGCATACTACCGGACATACCGAAGGCCCAATGGGCGATGGACCGGGCGCACAGGGCTCTGCGTGCCCGGCGCTTGAACTCAGACGTGCCAAGAGACATTATCATCTGCTTCCACCATTACACCACCAAGGAGGCACTCCTGAGGCACAATAGAAACCACGAGTTCACATATAAAGGCAAACCCATCTCCCTATACCAAGATCTGGCTCCAAGCACACTGCAGAGACGGCGGGATTGGAGGCCGCTGACAGACCTCTTGCGGCAACATGAAATCCGCTTCACCTGGGGCCACCCATTTAAAATTGTGGCCTTTAAAGCAGGAAGAACAGCCACTTACCTACCGGGAGGAGACCCACGTAAATTCCTCCGGGACCTGGACATCACCCCTCCAAGGGACTTTGCTTTACCAGGACCCGCCCGACAAGCCCTCAAACCTCTCCCGAGGGACTGGTATACGATCACGGCACCAGCAGCCCAGGAGAACTGAAGCCGAAAAGCTGGACTACATCCTCAGACCTCATAGCGGCATTGTCCGCACGCGGGACAGATAAGTTTACAGCAGGGGACACTATACTACGCAAAACCATCCCTGCTACCACTTTACTCTAATGCACATTTATTTCCTTGAAATGTTATTGTTTTCTTCTTTTTCGTAGTCTCCCTCTTCATGGCCCAGCTACTAGCTTTGGGGATGTTATACCAGAGGGGGGGGAGGGGAGAGCAGATAGACTACATACCAAACACACACGAATCTGGCTGAAGCAGACGCACAGCAGCACGCTAGGAAAAAGTAAAATAAATAATAAATAAATAAATAAATAAAAAATAATAAAAATAAATAAATAAACATAACTAAATAAACAACAAAACCCTCCTGATGGCATCCTCCACCCAAATGGGACCGGGGTTCACTTCACTTCAGGGTAAAACCCCTATGACCCGTGTGATAACAGGAACCGGGGACAGGTGCCGCGGTAAAGCGGCCAGGGTGAAAAACACAGGGCACGCAGGGGCGGACACAGTGGCTTACCGCCCCACTGAATCACCCTAGACTGTGGGCGGTGAAGCAATGTGGGTTGCCCACCACACCATAGTGGACAGACGCGGGGAGATCACCAACTCCGAGAGGTGACTTTCTGCACGCCACTCGGAAGGGGTGAACGCCCCCACCTTAATCTGGCACAGGTTAAGACCAGATTGTTTTCATGTGTTCATGATATTTGTTTACATGCATGTATGTTAAAAACGTTCTTTGACATTCACCATTTCCCTCTTTTCCTTCCACTATCTCTTAAGACAAGTATTGATCTGCTACCCAAATTGTCAGCCGGGATGCCGCCCGCGCCACCGAGAGGGGTTCTCACGACTGACCACACTCACGCCGAGCTCCGCGGTTCCGAGAGGACCGGGGACCCCGCAACATCAGAGGCACTGTTCGCACCCCCCCATGGCACTTAAGGTACTGTCCCTTAATGTCAAGGGTCTTAACTCCCCCAACAAGCGTAGACTACTGGTAAGGGACCTAAAGACCAAAAGAATTGACATTGCACTGATACAGGAGACGCACCTCCCCAGGTCGGCGCCCACCAGACTAACTGACAGAACCTACACGATAGTACACGAAGCACGCTCCCAACGTAAGAGAGCAGGTGTGGCGATCCTCCTGCATAAACACTGCCCCCTACACGTCACCACCATCCAAGCCGACCCAGAGGGGAGATTCCTATACATAGGAGGCACTCTATACACCACAAAAATACATATCATTAACGTATATGCACCCAACGAACTAGACCAACTGTTCTGGACAAACCTAGAGATGCTGGTGGCGGGGGCTGGGGGGGGGGTTCTCCTCGTTGGAGGAGACTTCAATGCGGTGCCAAGCCCGGCGGCGGATAGAAGCTCAAAACCTGGTACCGTGAGATCACAGAGCAGAGGGAGCCAAGACATGCTATTACACACGTTCCTGACACACACAGGCCTACTGGATGCTTGGCGGCTGCAGCACCCGACCACATCTGACTACACATTTTACTCCGCACCACATAACACCTACTCCAGAATAGATAACATGTTCCTTAATGGGGCAGGGATGGCCAAAATCCTCCACTCAGACATTAACAGTATCACGTGGTCAGATCACGCGGACGTAACACTTACGTTAGGCAACTTATGCTATAAATCCAACTGGTCATGGAGGCTCAACACTAGCCTCCTGAGGGACGATAACATACAAACATTGACCCGACAAGCTATCACAGAATACTTTGAAACCAATGCTACTCCCGAAGCTAACCCCACCGCGGTCTGGGCAGCACACAAAGCAGTCCTACGCGGCCACTTCATAAGACTAGCCACCCAAAAAAAGCGAGCTAAAGCAAAACAGCTGCTCGACCTACAGTCAGCCCTCCGTAAAAAGGAGCAACAACACAAAACCAGCCCGACTGACACGAACCTCAGGGAACTAAACGCACTCAGGCACTCTATCAGGGACATTACGCTGGAGGCGGTATCGCGCTCCTTACTGTGGTCGAAACGCCTATTCTATGAAAAGGCGAATAAGACAGATACACTCTTGGCTAGGGTCTTGCGCCCAAGGCCGCAAGGCAAAACCATAACGAACAAATACGTACAACAACAAACACACTAGCAAAGACGCCGGACGCCATTAATGAAGTGTTCACATCATATTTCTCAGACCTCTACAATCACTCCCCGACTAACGCGACCTACATGACAAGCATTCACCAATTCCTCACCGAACTTACCATCCAAAAAGTGAGCCATGCAGAGGCTGACGCACTAAGAGACCTGATCACACAACTCGAAGTGGAGGCAGCCATAACCTCCCTGAAAGGCAATAAGGCACCAGGGCCTGACGGATATGACGTCAGTTATTATAAACAATTTAAAGAAGTATTGGCCCCCCCACTCACAGTCCTCAGTAACCACTTTATGCAGGGCGGGAAACCCGACAGAGATATGGCAACGGCAAATGTAGTGCTACTGCCAAAACCCGGGAAAGATGACACATTAGCCCCCAGCTACAGGCCAATATCCCTCATTAACATCGACCTCAAGATATTCGCTAAAATATTAGCATCCAGACTCAACCCCCTTCTCCCGCGCCTGATCCACCCGGACCAGGTGGGCTTCCTGCCCGGACGCCAACTATATGAAAACACACGACGAGGGGTTAGCACAACATGGCACATGGGGGAATCCAAGGCGTCCTCTCTGGCGCTCTCACTGGACGCGGAGAAGGCATTTGACAGGGTGCTGTGGCCTTACCTATTCGAACTACTCCGTCTCCAGGGGTTCCCAACAACTTTTGTAACAGCAATACAAGCATTATACACTGACCTGAGGGCACAAATACTCATCACGGGGGCACACAAAGCACCCTTCACCCTGCGAAACGGCACCAGACAGGGTTGTCCCCTATCCCCCTTACTATTCGCTCTAACTTTAGAGCCGCTGCTACAAGCTATTCGGCAACACCCACACATTAAAGGCATTGAAATTGGTGGCACACCATTCACGGTCTCGGCATATGCCGACGATATCCTACTAACACTAAGGGAACCGATACCCTCGCTCCACCATTTAACACAAGTCCTGGAGCGTTTCGGGGATATAGCAGGGTCCAAAATCAACTACTCCAAGTCAGTGGCAATGCCCTTCCACCTAGAGCCCCCAGACGTTGCCCACATACACCGCACATATCACTTAAAGATTGCCACAGACGAAGTCATGTACCTAG